TCCCGCAGAAGGTGCTCAATAGGACAGAAGTTGTCCAAGCATTCCAGTAAGCAGAAGGGAAAGAGGCAGGTATTGCAATGACAATTTCTTCTGAGCAAGCCCTCTCTAGTATGGATACAATAGACTGAGAAGGAGCTTAGCGGGGGCCTAATAAGAGCTCCTTGTAGTCTACTCATCCTCCTAAGTGTAACAATCTGGCAGCAGCAGAATTCAGTTTGCTCTGACTTCAGACTTGGGTCAGTGCAATCTCTCTGATGAGAGATTTAAGGTGGACATGAAGATGGCTCAGAGCCAAATTTGTCTCAGGCCATCGCTTCTCCCACCACATTCTACAACTACATAGTGTTTGCAGATGTTCAGTCAAAGGTCTTGGGAAACAGAAGACAGACGTGCTGAAGAAAGGACAAGAACAGGTCATGGAAAAGATCATCTTGATGGACAGCGTATGCCTCTGTCTACTGCAGGGTAGAGGCCTGCTCTGCAAAAATTGAACTCAAAATGGAAGGGAATCTCAGAGAAATTTCTTACAGGGAAAGATTTAGCAACAGGATAGGACAAAATTTTCCCTCATAACCCAAGGAAGGAGGAGCTATTTAATTCCACAGCCATCCTCTCATAGAACAATTTTCAGTGATGTTGAACTTACTCCTCATAAAACATCTATTATCATCAAAATAGAAACTATACCTCTTCATATATGTGACATCTGTTCAAGTGTTTCTCAGTAAAGACTTGTCAGAGAAAAGCTGTGGTTTCTAGAAATCAAGCTAAGACAGTCACAGCAGTGCTATGACTGAAGTTTCACTCTAAGAAGCTTTACTGAAGCAAGCAGTGTTTACCCATATTAAATATCTCTGGTCAGATTTTCCTTTGTTTTTGGAGACAGAGACATCCCAGTTTTCCCCAAGGATATCACAAATACCAGCTCCAGATTCCCACTACTTTCAAAGGGATTGAACATGTAGAGACTTGTGCCATTTGAATCAGCAAGTACCTAGATTTTATTCAGCTTAAACACCTTTTTACTTCTCTCTTTCTGTAGTTAGCTGCATGTGCAGCAAAGGGAACAACAGCAAAACCAGACTTGTAGTATTGGTGCAGGATTTCACCCAGACATGGATTCACAGTGCACCTGGTTAATCATGGCAGGGGGTGCCTCAGATCTCCTTCCAAATGCTCATAAATCACCCGTGCCTCCCCCTGTGCTCCCCCTGCTTCCCTGGCCATTAGCTTCCATCTGAGCCTATCATTTGATTAATCTGGGAATAGAAACAATGAATGCTGAGAATAGGGAGAGCTCACGCAGCCTCCTGCTGGATGCTTCCCTGAGCTCCCAGCTGGTTCAGAATCACTTCCCCAAACCTTTCACTCTTTGTCTGCTTCACCAGCACAGCAGCAGGGCTCCTGCTGCCTGATATTTGTAGCACAGAAAGGAGAAGTGCCCGTGGCCCTCGCGCTCCGCGTGCCTCGCTCAGACAGCGGCGCTGCTGCTGCCGCCTGCCCTGGCCTGGCTGTCACTGCAGGCCCGGACACAGGGACACGTCAGGATTTTCCGTACTGGCTCTCTCAGTGGACAGTGGTGCTTTGCTTGGCAGCCTTCTCCAGGGCCAACATTGTATCGTTGCCAGGCCACAGCGCTGAGGGAGCAGCGCGTCGCGCGCTGTGGGGAAGCGGGTACCCCCTCATCAGGGCGGCCCTGCTTTATTCACACGCTAGCTGGACCCATCCACACTGGAGCTTTTCACCATGTATTTGGAAGAAAAAGAAGTTTGTTAGCACCAAGGGAGAATGGAGTTCCTGCTTCTAACCCTTGTACAAGGTCTGCTACTACAAGCAGGCCAAACCACTGGGGAAGCACGGGTGGCAGGCTGCTCTCTCCCAAACAAGCACCCAAGTCAGGCAGACCTCACCTGAGGCACCCACATTGCCTAATGTGGGGTATGTACATGGCTTTAGGCAGCACAGGTTTTCTAGCTCTCATGCTCAACTGTTCCCTTTGGCCTTCTCTTGTGTATAAGCACCATACCAGCCCAACCTCATGGAAAGGGAGGCTGTCTTCCTCCTTTACATCATCTTTTTCCTGATTTGATATAAATAATGCCATTTTTCTGTTAACATGTGTATCACAAATGTGAGCTATAGCTGCATGTTCCACAGCAGCTCGAGAAGCAGGCAAGAACAGATACCTGTGCCAGGTTTACAGAGACCCCGGCCTGGTGTTCCCCAGCAAGAATGGGGCCAGGAGAGGCCAAACCTGGCAGGTCATGTCATAAGCGCTGCAAGGGAACAGCAGGTCCGGAGGCTCAGTCCAGGCACAGGAGGAGCTGGATGCTCTTAGCACTTGGCCAGGGAGAAGAGCACATACAACCACCTCTTTTTACACCTGATTTGCAGCAAGAAACATGTATTTGCAGCAAGAAACATACCATCTGGTAATAATATACCAGATGGTATTTGCTATACAGCTCTATTTGCTCCCTATATAGAACAAATGCACTCTGATTTAGGAAGAACATATGAAAAAAATGGTGTTCTTTGTCTGCCTTCACATTTATCCTCAGAAAGGCATGATGTAGCATATAAGGAGAATAACTGACTTGTTCTAGCAGCTTCGCAGCTGGGATTAAAAACTCAGGATGGGTTTTGTGCCCTCCAGGTCTAAGGGGCAGTCCATCTGGCAGGCAGCGTGGTGCCTCACAGATATCTCTGAAGCGCACAGATCCAGGCACAGCGCGTGCACAACATGCTGTCAGAGCTCAATAAAATAAATTGAAAGGAGCAAAAGTAATTTTCAAAGCACAATTCACAGGAAGCACAGGATGATTTACAGAAGCTAGAGGCTCCAAGCTGACAGGAAAATAGCTCCTCACAAATTACTTATCTTTCCGGTCAGTCACTTGAGAGAAATATAGAATGGTTAAGAATTGCTACTAAGGTGTGATTTGTATGCAGAAGGGCTACTGCTCACAGCAACAGCTCTCTTGCAAAATATGAACTATGAACATGTATATGTTTTCTAGAAAAATAGAGTGCTTGTTTCTATATTTTGTATAGGTTTAGAGCTTTTCAAAGATAAGCATTTTACCACTAAAAGGGTTAAAACATTTGAAAAATGAGTATTTCTTTTCTATCTAATTACCAAATCAGCTATAGCTCAAATGTATTTGCCCCTGTTCCACATATGAAATACGAAAAAGAAAAGAGGGTAATAGCTTTTTTTCTGACAGCAGTACTCTGTCAAGGGTCTTAAAATACACCTGTACCTGGAAGTCACCATAAACAAAAGTTTCCGTACCACAGATAAAGAAGTGACTTTGTTCCCATAGAAGGAAAAAAAAAAAAAAAAAGTGTATCGGGGTGTTAAACTAGTCAGCCACCAGAGTTGCCAGCACAAATTCTACCTTAGCAAATTGTGTCTTAGGAATGGAAAGGTGGCTTCTTCCAGCTTCTTTCTAGCTTTTTTTATTGTCTCAGATAAACTACAGATTACTACTGACCAGTAGTAATCAGATAAGCATCCATAGTTTAAACTTAAAAACTTAAACCTAAAAAGTTTAAACTTCGGCCCATTTCTTCTGTTCTTATTCTCCTGACATTTTCGAGAACCAAAATGTAACCTTACAATGAAATTTACATTTTAACAACATTAACAACTTAAAAAAAGAGATTCAACCTCTGTGACTATAACAAGAAGCAGTAATAGCAAACAAAATCAAGAGTAACATACCTGACGTGCTCTGTCCTCCTATGCAGTAAAGTCAGTGGAACTGCCTTCTCAGTTCCTTCCATTGTATTTGTCTTTAGTGGCTGATACAAGATCTGGAGATGTTGAATTGGCCCCAGAAGGGAAGGATTTCTGAAACAGCTGGTCTAGCCTTCAAATGCTATCTTGATAACCAGAGGGTTATCTTGATAACCAGAGGTTACCAATAACCAGAGTCTGGGTTTCCCAAGGGACATCCTTGCTCTGCCTGGAAATGTTGTCTGTGTGAAATATGAACATTTTGGACACATTCCAAGATCTCCCAACATTAAGAGATCAACCCAAGTTTAGCCTTTCACCACTTACCAATCTCTAATATAACAGTACTGACCACAGCACCATGCAACAGTATCTGCAGGAAAAACAAAGAAATAAAATAGAATCTATAGCAAAATTCATCTATAACGTGCAGTTTTGAGCATCCCAAGAGCAGGCATTTTTGAAAAAAATTAAATAAGACCTACTCATATCACCACAATATCTGTGACAGAACCTTGCTCTAACTTACAGCCCAGATTTGCATTCAAATCCATTCAGGAACAGGCTGGAGTTCATATATACTGGACTGCAGGACTGCATCTTCATTCCTGTGCTGTATTTGTCTCATTTTCGAAAGATTATCAAGAGTCTCACTTCTGAGAAAACATAAAATAATGCATATTTGTTTCTAGGTTCCATGTTCCACTATACCCTTCACCTCAAAATGAGGATCAGCTTTAGAGCTAACCAGACTACAGGTTTCACTGCAAGTCATTCTAAGCTAAAGCAAATAGGGACTTGAGCCTGTTCTCCACTTCCTTGAGCTCTATGTTAGAGAACAGCAGTCTGTCTTCTTCCCTTGCTTTAAGCTTGTTTAAGCTTCTGAAAGCTTAAACAGTTAAATGACTTCACCAAAACTTCACATAGTTCTCTTTTCCAAGCTAACTGTAGTCACAGTAACCTGTCTTGTCAATTACGTCTTAACAGCTATAGTATCTTCTTTAGGCATTATTTATATATAGCAGATTATATACTCAGTTTCTTTCAAATTTATAGACAACATTGCAATTTCAAATGAAGGAAAACAAAAAGAAGAGCTGCAATCTTCACTTGATAACATTTATTAAATATTTTTTTAAATGAGCGAGAATTTTAAGAAGCCAATAAGCAATCAAATACAGCCACAAAAAGAAAAACCCATACTGATTGTAAATAAAGAAGCACTATGAGAAATACACAATATTTAATGAAACTATACTGTACATTAACAACCTTTGGGAAACAAACAATTCAAACTAAATGCTTAGTTTACTCACAATATAAAAAACTTGAACCTTTAAAGAAAAATATAGATTCAGTCCAATTGTAGGATCCAATCCCATGTCCACTGAATTCAATGGAAGTTTTCTCATTGATTTCAATGTTTAGTGGATCATGCCATTACTTTGCCTGAAGAGGCACTTCAATTATTATACAAGGCTCAACTTGAATACTATTACAAAAATATCAAACATCAACTCAAAAGTATGTTTCAGCAACTTCCAGGAAACAATGCAGAAATAAGTTATCTATCCATGCACGGAATAAGGCAAAAGCTAATTCATTCAGATTAGGAATAATAAATTTTACTAGTTTCTTTTTCACAACACAAACATTTTAGACTTCTTTTTAATTAATGGATATATTATGTATCATATTATGCTTCACATTTTTCCTACCTCTACTGAGAAAGCTGGCACTGACATGTCAAAGAACTCTTCATTAATTACTGTTTTCTGTTCTGTAACAACCACAAGAAACTCATCATCTGGGTTTAGTAATAGTGTCTACCAAGAAAAAAGCACACACTATCGTAAGCTTATAGTTTATAGAGCTCAAGGTACATTAAAATGTAATCCATGAAGTTCACAAATTCTGTTTTAAAATATTGTTCCAAACTAAAAGCTGCAGAAAATTGGTTCTTAAATATTCTACAGAAAATTCTGAAGCATCTAACATTTTAAATTGCTTAGGCTTTCTTCTTAAAAATATTTAAATTAGGTTAGTAGCCCATCCTTTTGAAAAATAATCCAAAAAAGATACACTAGATTACAAATCTTTTGTTTTAATCAGTGTAACCAAAGGTTTGTCATCTGGGCTGTAATCTTCATAAGCAATTGGGGTTGCATCATACATTGCAGGTCGAGACTTCTTGCCAAATCTGGAAACAAAAGAAAGCTTTGGTGACAAAGAAGTATGAATGAGTGAATAACCCACTCAGTTACAGTGTGCTTCTGTAAAGAAACCTAGAGAACTTAAGTAAATTCTAAATTACACTGCAACATGCCAGATGGACAAAAGCTTACATACTTGAACTGGAATGTCCAAAATATGTGGATATCAGATGAAAATACTACTAGTAAAGAGACAGATCCCATAATCAAATCTACAGGAATTCTGCAACTGAATTCATCAATACCAGAACCTTTGAAGATTGTGGAAGTCAAGAGGGAAACTGATAGTTTCAAGGAGACCAGTATTTTATTTTAGAGATCACCTCAAGTCACAAACAAATAACAGAGAGACATGCCATGTTTATATTTGAAAATGCAACAATAGTGTGGAGAATTGAGTTGCAACCTGCAGATAAAACATGGAAAAATAAATTTGAAGTCTTCTCAGTTGATATCCACTCAAGGAGCACTATCATCATGCTGCTTTCTATTTGCAACATTGATGATATTAATAGCAGTTGGGATATTCCAATGCCTCATAAAGATACTAATCCGGTAAAGTTAAGAGTTAAGAAGAGTTAAGGTTAGAAGGGATCTCTAGAGATCATCTAGTCCAACCCTCGTGCTCAAGCAGGGACACCTACAGCATGTGGCACAGGGTGGCATCCAAGCAAGTTTTGAAGTTCTCCAAATCACTCTTTATCCTCACCCTACTCCCTCTCAGTAGATATTCAGGAGAATATATGGCAAGGTCACTTACAGTTTGACTTTGTGTATCTTGGACATATCAAAATACTGCTTAAGACAAATGTTGCAAAAACTGAAAATAATTCAAACAATTAAAAAGGAAAAATCAAACAGCAGTACTTTGTAGTGGACCTACATCTTGTCCATCCCCCTGCACATGCAGGGTCATCTAAAGCATGTGGCACAGGATTGCATCCAAGCGGAGTCAATACTGTGATGTTACTTGAAAGAAAAATAATGGGAAAGAAAGAAATGAAGAGAGAGAGAAATGATGAGAGAAACAAGTAATTCCAAGAGGAATTGTACTGGGTTAGTTTAGTCTAGGCCAGCAGAAATATAATTTTTTTTTTTTTTTTAAAAAAGAGGGAAGCTGATATATGCAATTACTAGTAACGGAGTGCTGATTAGTTATTCTCCAAATCAACTTATTAACTACCGTAAAGAAAGAAACAGTCTCTTTTAGCAAAGGAAAAATAGGTTGGATATCAGCAAAGAACTTTCTAAATGCATTCAAATCCTCTGGATGCTTTTCAAGACAATTGTTATTGAGGAGTTGGGTATAATTAATGTTATATCAGCTCAATGGACTGCAATTGAGCTCTTAAACCCCTTCCAGTCTACTTTTGTATTATTCTGACACCTGATGCCCAGGCTTGCTAGTGCTCTACTGAATTTAAACATTAATAGATTAGCATCTCTAGGAAAGAACAATCCCCATTTGAAGGTGAGCAAGGGCATAGAAAAAGTGATTTGAAAAGAATCTCATTGAATAGGTTGGTAAATTAATTCCAAATTCAGCAATTGCCTTTGCTATCAATTAAATACTCATGTAAACTAGTTAAAGAATATATAAGATAAAAAATATAAGATAAAGAATATATAAAATAGAGAATATCTCAAAAATGTAAGATATTTCAGGCTGAAGACTGCACCTTTCCCTCTTCACCAGTCACCCCAAATAAATTCAGAATAATTCCCACTGTCCCTGAGGAGGAGTGCTGAATTATCACTCTTCACTGAGAACAGAATGGGGATCAAAAAGCACAAGGAGCAATGATGTCCTTCCACAGAGAAGCAGGTGATCCTGTCAACAGCTAAATGCACTAAGCATGGACTGAAATTACATATCATAATAGACATTTTAGTTATATTACCATTCCCGCAACAAACCTGGCATGTCGGATAGAAGCAATTGCACTACTGAATTCACTGTCAATGCTTCTACAGTTGTAAAACTCTTCATAGGCTGGTCTGGAAGAGCCTTGATACTCTATACGGCTGATGCGACATATGCCCACAATCAGGATGATCAGCATCAGCACGAAGGCGACACAGAGAGCCCCGATGATGATGTACAGGGAGTGACGGGGCATATTCGTTAGACTCTCTGCCATATGCCCAGACTTCCACTGCAAATCTGCCAATGAGAAATACAAAGTTATCATTAATTAGTACTCTACATCTACCCAGCTGATAAAATTATTTTGGGATGTGTCAATATTTCTGCAATGACTTCTGAAACTCAGGATACGCAACTAACTTTTTCAGGCCTTGCTACGACTATGTTGCCATGCCTGGCGTGCAGCAGTTTGTACAACTATTCTGATGCTTCACCAATCTGTTCTATAGCTTTTTAAGGTGAGATGGGAACACTTGTGTAGCTTGATTTCCTATACTACTCAAATCATAGTGTGCCATCTAGTTACTCTTGCATTATATTTCACTGAAGGATAGGCATGACACTTCTCAAGAAATCTATTACATTTTGCACTAACACATTCCCACTTTACTCCTTCACAAGGATCATGTATACATTTCACTCTTTGAATAGTGTGTAATCAGACTTGACGGGTTTCAGTTTTAGAGAATGTTTGGACATAAGAATCCTTCTATTTAAAAAGAAAACTCAATAAAAATTCTCCTGTTTTCTTTCTTCTAAGGTCTATAGTGCCTTGGAGAATACAGAAAGGCAGATGCACAACCCCATGGAGAATCAGTACTTCAAGGATAAGACGGTCATGTCACAAGGTGCTGCAATACTGAACCCACTGGAGTCTTCCCTCAAGCAAAACTCCTCTGAGACTTCTCAAAGGGAACCTTAAAGGAAAGCTAATCTGAGAGAGGATTCTTGCGTTTCTTGCAAACCCTCTTAAAATATATTGCTGGTTGAGAAAGTTATTTGTAGCAGGTGACTGTTTCTTTTTCAAACAGACTTCTGCTTTTCACCGTCTTAGAAGCTTCCTCTTCTTCATGGCAAACCCAGTCTGGAACAAGGCTGTCTGGAACAGGGCTGTCACACACGCTCTGGGGATGTTCAGATTTTCTTAGAAGCCACCTCTCAGGGATTTTGGTGATGAGAGGTAACTGATTTAAACACTGTAACCAAAAGCTCAGTGGCATCTGTGGATAGAATCTCCACTTATGACAGAAATATAGATTATAGGTAGAAAAAAAATCTTTTTTTTAGAGGAAAGTTGGAACAACATGTAGGACAAACAAGGGCACAACTTGAGAAAATGGTTGCTCTTTGTTCATAATAGCAAAAGGCTGTCCTGGAGAACCTGGGACTTGTGCTTGCTCTTAGTCTGTAAATACGAGTGGAGTACAGGACTGCTTCTTTGTGATTTCTTCTTCAGAGATCAATAAAGTTTTGATTAGCCTGAATCATTCCGCAGTTTAATGTTCCTGAAGGGCTGTTGCTGCAGTTTGCTCGATGTGCAGAAAGGGAGCGAGTGCAGCTGTGCTGGGCCTGTTTGGAGGGGATGCTATTTTTGTTCTGCAGCACATTAGTCACACACAGTAGTTTGTCAGGTTGTCAGACCAGGCCAAATTCAGAGCTAAGGTACGGAGATATATGGCATGGCAGTTCTGTTGCACACTCCATGCCTTAAGTCAATGAACAATAAGGATATAAGGAATTTCCTCACTTGTCTTGCCCAGATAACAACATAAAGATTAACAGCTTATACTTCAAAAATTAAAAAGGATATATGACAGTTCAAATTTACAGCGCTCTCAGTTGTCATAGTAATGCTAATAAAATTAACTAAGAATTAGATTTCATTGAGCACCACACAGTTTGCACTGCAAACAAATCAATATCTGTAATAACAGCTCCTGAGTAACAGCATACCTCGGCTAATCTTGCTAAATATATTAACAGGCAGTTAATAGGCAAAGGTAATGATATTAACAAATAGCCATCAGACATTAAAGAACTTATATGAGATGTTTTATAAAGATTTTTGCATTGAACAGTCTGTTATCTTTTTGGTCAAACGCATTTCATTTTAAAAAGATAGTTCTCCTTATAATAAGGGTTGATCAAATCCTACTGTTACTAGTTAAAATTGCTAACCCTGAAAAGGACTAAAGATGACAGATGATTTAATAAATATCAAAGTTCTTTGCCAGGAAAATTAAATCCACCTCTTGACTATAAAGAGCTCTTGACAAGAAACTAAAGAGTACAGTTTGAAGGATAACTCTGAATCTGGTTACAGCAGTCCCTTCCAGCTGATCAAGCAGATCACTAGCGAAAAATGGGAACTACCAAGAATAGGATTTCTCCAAAAAAGGACTAAGTACCAGTCTCCTTTACAGTAATAACAACAACAACAAAAAGATAAAGATAAAATATGATCGGTTTAGTCCCTTGTCTCTGTAATACAAGCCTGCCTGCCCCTATTTTGGGCAGTCTGAAGCTTAGTTCAGCATGTCTTTTTCCAGTATTCAGAAGGATGGCTGAAGACAAAGGAAGCCACAGTGCTTCAATTTAAATTTTCAATATATTACAAATCATTATACACAAATTGCTGAAGCAATATGATGGAGAGATGAACAGATGAACATGAAGAGATTCAGTCAGTGAACTGAACAAAAATGCACTGCACCGTTGACTTAACTTCAATGAGCTCAGTCGTGCTGCACCTATTTATAAAGGAGCTGGATACGGCCTTTCTATTTCTGTAGGCATGATCAGAATTGGATTTGGATCAGCCGGTCAGTTCTCAGCTCAGAGAAATAAGTAAGCAAAAGAACTTCCCATGGATACGGAGCTCTCTCAAAAAAATCCGAAGATCAAAATGCTTTCAAATCCCTCCTGCAAAGTGATTTCTTTGGAAATTAATCCTTTTCTATTTGCATAATCCTTTATCTACCTGTTAGAAGCCAAGCTCTCTAGGAAAAGCTTCCATAGCTTTGGGTATAATCCACAGCATTGATTACAGAGCTGCATTTCTGTACTTATATCTGACTATTGTGAAGTACCATGGTAGTCCATAAGCAATACACCACGCTTTGGCAATTTGACATTAGTAGCAAGGGAATGCACAACATCTGCTGATGTTCAGCTTTTTGAAGAAACTACAGGTAACCCTTAAATTTTAAGTGTAATTGTTTTTTTCAAAATAAGCTTCAAAATAAGTGTCAAAAATATTTTTTCCTTGAAAAATATTTTTTCAATTCTGTTAACTAACTGAAAATTGAAAATATATTTTCAATTCTGTAAACCAATTCAAGAAAGAATTTTGGAGATTTTTTTTTTTATATTGCTACTAGTGTGTGTATGCGTGTGTGTGTGTGTATATATATATATATATAAACATTTATTAGAGCATACATGCATTTTAATAGATAGCTTATTTGGTAGAAAAAAACCCCATCATTTCAACCTCTTCAATAGGGAGCAGTTGACATGCACAATACTGTAGCATCTCTTTTCCAAAAAAAGGTCTAATATTTTTGGCTAAGGATCAGCCTTGCAGTTATCAATGCCATCTGACATTCAGATAATTCCCTGCCTTCTGTTGCAGCAGCCACAAGATAAAAGAGCAAATCGGTCAGAAGATGTAAAACAGCAAGCACCAAGCGCTGCTGTTTCTCCCTATCATCCTAACGCACACTGTGTTCATCTCACCATTGCCCATGTGTTCACGTGTCTCTTATTATGTAGCCGTGGTGCAAAGAGCCAAGCTTCGAGTGACACTAGAGCATGAGGGCCAGGAAGGGATCCCAGAACGTGTCACCGATTGCGTGGGGCACCTCTGCAGGGCTCACTAGGCAAGCCAAGCCTCTCGGCTCCTTTTGGTACCTGCCTGTTCTCTCATGTAACAAAGACATAACTGCTGCTACATGTAGGTGCCCCAGGAAGTATGTTCCAGGGATCGTTATTGTATTCTCAATGAATTAAAGTCCTCTCTCTGTCAGCCCACTATTTATTAGATAAGGAAGGCAGAGATGCAGTGCCTTGCTGATTAACCTGGAAGTGCATTTTTCAGGCATCACTAACAGCCTTAATGGCAAAAACTCATCTGGGCGCTGTAGAGCATGAACAATATAGTATATGTAGCATAACAATACAGTATATATAGCATACATAGAATATGCAGCATCATGGTCCTGAGACTTAAGCAGCATGCAAGGCAGCAGTGCGTGCCCTTTGCAGAGACAACAAAAGGGGAGCACCACCATCCCCTCTGGCCTAGCTAGCAATGCTATTCTGCAGTCCTCACGTTTGGCAACAGACTTTCATTCAATAGATTCCCAATGAAAGAGGATTTTTCACAGTAGGCTGGAGGCAGCTTATTCCTCCATGTAGAAACACTAACAGGACTACAGGTACTCAAAAGTCAATACAAGTCTGTCTATTAGTACCACGCTTATAGTGCTTACCCAAGGCAAGTGTAAAATAAATGTTGAGGCTTAAGGTCACTTCCAAAGAAAGGAAATTATTAGTGCCCAACTGTGAAATTGCTTGTCTGAAAATCTGGTCCAACACTCCTCAAAGCAGGTCACCAGAAACAGAAGTTTTTACTTACAAATCCTTTCAAAATATTATGGCATTAGCTAAAAATTCATTTAGCAGAATTTCAATAATTTACAGAAGATTCAGGATATCTGTGCACATAGATACTAGGAGACAACAATACATTTCTTTGCTATAACTTCTTATATGCAAAACTTTTAGGAGTTTTTATGACAACTAACAATACAAATATAAAAAAAAATGTATATATAAAGTTCTATAAACTTACGTATTTCGCAGTTTGCGCCAACCCACCCATGTGGACAGTGACAGGTATAACCATTGGGCTGATCTATGCAAGTCCCAGCATGGTGACATGGGTTGCTGTCACAGTCATTTACATCAATTTCACATTCTTCACCTTATATCAGGAAAAAATAAAATGAAAAAAATCTTCCTTAGAGTAGCTGAATTTGATCAGGTATGCTACCAATGTCAATCAATGTCATTTGATTTTCTTCTAACTGCATGATACCTTACAGCTCAATAACATCTTCATTCTCAGGATATCAAAGTTATTTCTTGAAGTGGTTAAAGAATAAGTACCACAGAGCCTCCAAGAAGGATCTTCATTCAACCATGCAGAAACAAAATCTGAAGTCTCAGCGACTTGACTAACCTCATTCAAATTGCCTCTCATTGCTTTAATCATAAACATGTTTGTTTCTCTAAGACAAATGGGATGTAACAATTTACCATGTATATTCTGAAGTGTATACAATAATTACAATTATAATGTAGATAGTCTGTAATGCAGAGAAACAGACATGGTACCAAAGAACGCCAAATCTTTTTTTTAAATTGCACTTCAATTAGCACAGAACTAAAAGCATCATTTTATCTTCAAAACAGTTATGGACAGATTCATCTATTGCTATCACACTGGATATTCCGTTATATGACTAACAAAGCACCAGGTTGTAAATTATCTTGACAGCAGATATTTGGATTATACCAATCATGTCAGTTTAAATACAAGGCAAAAGGATTTAACAGGCTGCTTCCTATTACTCTAAAAGTGTAAATTGATTTATAACAAGCACTTAAAGGCTTTCAGCAATTACATATTAAGGTAACAGAATGAGTTCTTTCCTCAGCTCAGAGTAACTACTAGGTCAAGGTTAACATTTTCCAGTTTCAATAGTGTCCAATTAGTATACTGGCTTACCTGGCAGTGTTCAAAGTGTTATTTTTAAAATGCAATCTCGTCTCAAGCAAAAATGCCACAAAGAATATTCAATAGGTGTTAGCTTAGTGAATTCTCTTTAGTAACAGATACTTGCTGCAAAATTTTGAAGTTCAAAACAGTTGTAACATCAATGATTTCTTGCTCCCACAGGACTGGTTATAATTCCGTAATGTTTGAATTAATTTATTTTCTTGAACAAATGCTATTTGGCATCTGGACACAATGAATAACAATTAAACATTCTGTGTAATTTACAATTACTTACCTGCATATCCAGGTGAACAAATGCAAGTAGCATTTAGACCTTCACTGTCACAAGTGCCACCATTCTGACAGTTGATGTTAACACAAGGATCTTTGTATAATTCACAATGCCTTCCTGAAAAGGTAAAATTAATAACTGCTGTGAACATTAACCATGCTGACAGCCTGAAATCAGTGTTTGCAATGTCTTAATTCCACCTGGATGACAGCAACGATGTGCACCATCAAAGCCCGACCGTCTCTGGTGACGCTCATCAAATGACAATTAAGATACTGAAGTCAGTGAGGTTAGTCTTTGTAAATCAGTGCTGTTTTAAGTCATATATGTAATGGTTGTTGAATTTTAACATACACACCACTCCTCATGCCCTCACCCACCAAGGCTTTGGGACAAAAGAGGTAGAAAGTTAGGACAGCTTCTGCTCTTTAACAAGACCTGGTGGACCACCTAGGGAAAAACAGTGGTATAGCAAAGCACAAGCTGATCAGCTAACTTTTCAATAGGATTTAAACAGTAATTGTCCTCATTAATAAATTTATGTAATGAATTTTAATAATGTAAATAAGCCTTTCATTGACTTTTCAGGAAACTGAGAAGAAATATTGTTTGATAAGACAATAAAAAGAGAAATCAATTTATTCAAATTTAGAGCAAAAAATGAACACTTGGGTCAGGTAGCTTCAAGCCCCTGTCTTTGATGTCTCATTTTCACATGTAAGCTACATGAATTCATTAGTGTTGCTTTGCAGAAGATAGGATAATCTGGGATACAGAATCAAAAGCACAGCAGATTGCCACCTGGGGATGGGGAAGGAAGATCTAATGTCACAGTTTCATGCATCATTTTTCCTGGTATAGAGGGACTGCAGAGGACTGCAGAGAGGGGAGGTCTGTGTTGGTACTGCTAAAACTGAAGCCTTTAGTACTGCCCGCACAGTAACATTGAGCCGAGGCCTGGAGCTCTATTCATCCCCGCAAGTCAGCACTGGAAGCGTGGAGCAAAGAGGGTGCCCTAATGGGCATGTGGTGCAAAAGGCTTGCAGGAGCAGCTGCCCTGCTGGCATCCGAGGTAGAATGAGCTCCTTGTAAGTCGGGTGCTGCACACGCAGTGCCTTCACTTGCACATACGGGAGGGTGAGAACGGAACAAATTCATAACATTATGGTTAAGGGCTCTTTAAAATGTCATGAAAAGCTGAGGGTCATTTCCTCACTGGTCTGCTGGAAGGATGGGACTGCTCTTTATCTGCTGTCAGAGAGCAGTGCAATCACCAGCAAGAAATGCATATTTAGCCTCAAGCAGCTGCTAACTAAGCATCACTTCTCAACCCAGATAAGTGTTTAATCTTAATGAGAAAATGCCTGGGTAACATTCCTTAAAACATAGTCATTCCATGTAAAAAGAAATTAGAAATATATATGAGTGTATATATATATATATATAAATTATATATATGTGTATACACATGAAAATTATGTGTGTGTGTGTACATATATAAAATATATAACAGCAATATCAGAGTTATTTTTAAAATCTCCTCAGCAAAATTCAGACAAAATAACACAATATTTTACCCTCCAAAGCAACATACCACAGAAAGGTGAAATAGGTTACTCAAACCGAAAAAAAAGAAATCTACTGCAAGATAAATAATTTTGTACAGTAAAATATGTGACTCTTTTCCTTTATTTTACAAATTCTAAAAGCAGATTCTGTTATAACATAAGAATGGATTCTGTTAACATGGGAGAACAGTCCCAAAACGACTACTTTTTCACATTCTAATATGTCTTTAAAACAACTCAAAAAGATGTGTCTAAGAACAGAGAAAAGCCATTTATCCTCTTAAAAGGCCATATATTTCTCACAGGAGCAACTACCTATACAGACCAGCTAAATCTGAACTTCTCACTTGAATAAAGATTTTGAAATCAAGATTGACTTTTCTTTCCTTTTACTTATGAAGATGGGTTATTACCACAGTGGAGGGTACTGCATGTCTTTGTAACAGAACCTACGATAAAAAAAAATTGCAGAAAAATTCCAAAAGTTGGAGGGAAGACCACATTTTACCTTCATATTCAGCAAGGCATGTGCATTCATAGCTATTGACAAGGTCTCTACAGGTAGCTCCATTTTGGCAGGGGGTAGAAAGACATTCATTATATTCCTCTTCACAGTAAAGGCCATGGTAACCTAAAGAATATGAAGAGGAAACACAACATGCTATGAATCACTTCACAGTAACAGCCCTCAATTAAATCCCTATAGATTGTAGGCAGATGTTTGCTAATCGAAATATACTGTGCAGATATGCGCAGACGTCAAGGACATCTGCTCCTTAGCTAAAATTACCAAAAACCAAACAAAAAAACACAAGGGAGCACAATGTACTGAAAGTTCTCAGTCACATCCAATGTGGTAAACAGCAGCGAGGCTGGAAGCCAAGAGGCAGATGACCAAGGCCACGAGTAGCAGTGTAAATTATCGCACTCTGTAAAATGGAATAATCTAACAGCAAAATATCCACCAGTTTTCTTGGAGACTCACAGCACCACAAATTTGCATCAGAGCGATGCTAATTACACAACAGCACTTAGAAAGACAACGTATTTTCACGTCAGTGCTGTAAAACGGTGCTCCCAAAGCACCGCAGGAGCATTAAGCCGCTTGATTTTCAAATTCCCAAGAGACTGGCAGGCATCATTGGCTGGTTAGGCAGCCAGAGAAGGCAGGAATGCAGAAAAGCTGTGAGAAGGGCTAAGGGCCACTTACGGGATCCTCTGTACCATGAGGTAAAGAAGCAAGAGTCAATCCACTTGAACCAGTGCTTTTCTCACAGTTTAGTGCATCATATGGATCACTGATCTTAAAATTACTTGAAAGGACTTTCTATATACAGTGCATGAGGTCAAAGCAGTACCTACTCATATTAAGTAAAAGCGTAAATTAGTATAGGGTAACCAAGGAAATAAGCAGAAACAATTCTAAAACATGTTTGCTTGATAATATTGACATTATTGGTAGTATCATTTGGTATTAAATACAAAGAACTTTTAAGCCTCATTACCTTAAGGACAATTTGACACTAAGAAGCTTATTTTACTCCTTATTTTATTATTTGAAGTCTTATTTGAAGCCTTATTTGAAGTCTTGCTGAATCATTTTCCCACTGCTCCCTTAAGGTACAGGAATTGCTAAGTGGTTCAGAACCTAAACAACAGCCACTTTCTATTATGTAAAAATACTGTATGCCTGTATTAAAATATACTTTTATCTTTCCCAAAGAAGAAACAAATATTTTTGTACTAAAAGATGCATCTTTCATAATGCATACACCGTTTTGGAAATTCTAGCAAATGACCAGGTAAACAAACTATTTCATTTTCTCCCACATCTACTGAGCTATTGTCTATGTTCCACTAACAACTGCAAGCCCCAGCATTTGCCATGCGGCATCGCGCAGCTTCCCCTGCAGCTGAGCAAGGCAAAAGCTGGGAACTTACTGGCAACTGCATCACCCAGCTGATTAACATGGAGAATTGCCTCGGATGCCTCAGGTTTGCGTTCAAACCATCTCATCTTCAGCCAGCCATGAAAAGCTGAAGGTAGAATCACTAGCACATACTATTGCCCAAAGGATACTGCCAAGGACGCTTTGTACAAAGTGATTATTTCCCTCTCTTTTTCCTATTGGGCTGTTATTTTACAATATTTGCCTGACTCTGTAAATAGAGTAGGGATATTTTATCTGTTTCGAATAAAACTTGCTATAGTCCTTCCAATCTGCTCAGTATTCTTGAAATTTCTGATGAAGGCCAATAGTACATATTAAAGCTGGCAGTTTCAAATAAGCCTTTACCATTTTCCATTCTAGTTCATCTAGCTTGGGAAGAAACAAGATATCCTTATGCAGTGCCATCTGTAGCCAATGTTCAAACTACAGAAATTGGAAAGTTTAGGAGAAAAACATGGGAGTTTCCTTCACAACACAGGTGTAATTAAGATAATTGGAGAACAAATATTTTGACCTGATTTTACACAGTTTTCACCCCTCAAAGGGAACCGACTGATAGTTCCTTGTGTGCAAAATCCTAACTATGCAAACATAGTGAGGGAAAAATATTTTTTCCCTCCACAAGAGGGCAGATGTCACCTACACACACTATTTCACCCTCACTGTCCTCACCCTGCTACAACAGATGGGTTGAATTGTCTGTGAATTTGGGCGGGGGGGAACACACACACGACTGGAGACATTATATAATTCCTCACAAGTATTTATCTTTTGTATTCCTGCTTTTTAATAATATGATGAATCAACCATGTTTTAGCTGCCATTTGTATCTTCAAAAATACTACATAAATCACTTGTACTTTTTTAATAAAGAAATCAAATGGATTGAAAGCATTTTTTGTAGATAACTTTAGAGTAACAGAGTCTAGTTACTCCTTCTTCTTCTAATACCAATATAAAGACTCCATGCTTTTATAGTGATAAGTCAAGCCAAGCGCAGCTCTTCACTCCTTTGGGGCTATACAGCTTGCCTATGGACACATCCGGGAAGGAAGAAACCATAGCTACATTGATAGCACATCTGTCCTGAACAGATAAAAGGATTTGACATTACAGCTTCAAAAAGGGCAAATAAACTTATTAAACTCTTTTTCTTTTCTCCATGTCATTACATAGTGAGTACTGGCAGTTTTGTGCATGCAAGCTCAACTTGCTCAACTGTCCCATTCTGGGGAGCTCTCTTCAGGGGCTGGGGAATGGACAGGGAACCTGAAAAAAACAAAACCCTAAAACACAGATGTCCCCACAGCAGACACAGTGACAGGCCCATCTGCTTCTCTTCTCTATAAAGACAGAACAAGCTCTGTTTCTGCTCTTCTCCAAATTCCCAAGGCTTGCCTTGACTGGATATTATTTGTCTTATGCTCCCTAGCATTAGGTGAGGTCTCTGCTTGACGGCTGTTTTAGAAACTGTTCACAAAGAAAAGGTGAAATGGAAAGCACAATCTGGGTCAAGAAGGCAACAAAAAAAAAAAAGTTACTGGCTTCAAGAGCAGCTGATGGGGTAAAACATACAAGACGGCTTGCACATCCCTCAAGAATATCAGCACAGCCAGGCTGGCAAAACGAATAGAGGGAGAAGATTCCTCTCCCTTCACAAATCAACAAAGAAGAAAGTAGAAAGCTCTTGGAAGTGTTTGAGATGCTACCTCCTCAGCAGTGATTCCCAGAGCTTATCCTCACTTAACATCTCAACAAATCAAGAGAGCGGGACAAAAATTCCATATTTGCAGGAATGTCTAGCGGGATTCAATGCAAGTTGACAAAATTTAAAAGACAGTCAGGAACTGACTGTTCTGTGAAAAGACACTGTAGGGGTCCCATTGGTTTCATGGATCAGTCTCTAAATGAGCAAACCAACAAATGATCATAAGATTTTTTTTTTTTTAAATCAAGAATAATTCTTGAACAGGTGATGAGCATAAAAACCCAAATGTCCAAACACTGTATTTCTTTTTTAATCTATAGAGGACTAGGCAACAAGGACTCAATTATTTAATGTGAACCTCACTGAAAGGTTTTATCTTGGCATGGTCTTTAGAACTGTGCAACTCTACACTGCATGACCCTGAACAAGGCAGATGAAGGCAGCCCAGTGACATCAACACAATTTCACATGTTTCAAGGATATGCTTACATGATTCCAACTGCAGACCTGGGACCTAAAAGGACAGTGAGCTTTCATGACAAACTAATTCACAAGCTTCCTCTTATCACCTCATTAAACTATTTATATTCTATTGCATTAAAACGCAGACAGTATTGAAACACATGAGAGGAAATATTTCATCCAATAACAAAAAAAAAACTTGCATTCAGGAAATCATTTCTGCTCAAGGTTGTTTACAGCCTTAGATTTTTCCCTTTCTCAGTTTAGTCTGTTCTTAGGAAAGTTAAGGCTGTAAAAAGTCTCAATATAATACAATTTCTTGCTAAGAAGTAAGGCTTTTCTGAAAACTGAGAACACAAACCCAAAGGATATGTCACCTGGAATTTACGCCAGCTGGTCACTTTTGGGGTAAGCATGCACACAATTAAAGGTTTACTGGTAAAATTTCATATGCAATTAACAAACACATATGATATCTACTGCTGTATGCATCATTGTATACACTTTTGAATTCCACATTTGAATATTTTATCTATATTCATCTTAGAAATGGCTTACACTTTTTTTTTTTTTTTCATTTTTGAAAAGGGAACATTCAAAAGCTGCCTTTCAAGGTAATGTCTACAAATTAGCTGTTCTGTATAAGCTATTGGATCATGTTTGTTACCCATGTTACCCAAAACTACAATTACAACAAAATCAGTCACTAACGATTGCTGGTGTGTGTTCTACAAATTTTGCAGATCTGCAAGTATAACAACTATCATTTATCATTTCTCAAATCTGCACAATGGTCAGAAAACATGGAAACTGAACTGCCTGCCAGGCAGGGAGACTATCACAGACCTTGGGCTAATTGGAACTGTTTAAAATTCCTCTCTTGTTTAATTTTTGAGGCAGAAGTAACACAGACAAAAATCCAGCTGACATTGTATGCCTGCTGGTAGAAATGGTGCATAAAAGAAGCACAGCATTCAGGTTGCAAAAAACGGCAGTCCTTCCCCTCCTTAATAGGAAATGTTATCCTCTCTCACACCTCAGAAAAAGAACACAGCTTCTCAGGACCAAATATAAAAAGTAAAATTGATGGCCTTTGAAGGTTTTAAAACAGCATGTTTCAGATATACTATAAAACTAAGACAGAAGACAGCTCTAAAATGTCAATTGGTAAAATTATTATTAATATAGGAAAGAATGTATAGGCTTGAAAAATGAAAGATCCCCATAAAAGAAGGTGGTATTCTGGGGGCTAGCACACTGAGGCTGAGAGGCTGGAAGCCTCAGGCTCTCAAAAGGCAGAGATAATGTCTTTCTTATCAATGTTTGGTAATATATTTATGCAGTCAGAATATTAGTATTAACCCTTGATAACGCTACCAAGCCACACACAAATTGGATTCATCCATTTCACAAATAATGGACGTAGAAGTGGCTGCCAAGGTGCCTGCAGGCAAAACTGTCAGAATTCAGCTTTGATACATCAGAGGCATAAGAGGATCACATTGCCTTTTGATGAAGATATCAAAAACGTGTGTTAGCCCATGCTCTAACAGCCCCTCCTTCAGTTATTTAGGAATTATAACCTAGGATCCTCAAATTTAGCTGTTAATGTGTACCTTATAGATAACTAAACAAACTGATAAAGCATGTGCCATGCTGTCTTCTAAATGCTGATCTACGAAGATGTTAACTATGTTTTTTAATTCATGGGGATAAAGTTTGAAGATAATTGCTTCAAAGGCTGCTGATATACTGTGACACAGAAAGATCCCTGAAAGACTCCCTCAAAAAACATCTTCCAAAAACCATAATGGAGAATACATAACAATGAAAAGAGATAAGAAAGAAGAAAAAAAGCAATACTCATTATTCTTTAGATGCAACCCCTCTGATTCAACCTGGCATTTTTTTCCTGCATAAATCAAATCACAAATCAAACTGCACAAGTCTTGTACTGTTCATATAAAAGTTCCCATAACAGAAGTGTAAGATTATTTTTATTCTTTGAGTGATAAAGATTTTTTGAATAGAACTGACAACAACGTTTCCTCAGGTGTTTAGGTGTTTATATCAACGTTTAGGTGTTAAATATCAAGAAAAAAAGAAGTTTAGTTTGCCAAGAATATTTAACTAGCTTTTTGCATTTGAAGTGCAAGCAAGGTGCATACTGGGGAAGATTAAAGCTTTCCATGTTTCCTTCAAATCAGAAATACCTAGTTTTTCCTACAGTGGAAGACTTCGGAAAGAAACCTCCTGCTGGACAGCTCCCAATACTCCAGAAATTGGATCCCCTTTCTCACTAGAAATTCAGAAGCATTTTTTCACACTAACTGTGAAGTCTAGAGTGGACTTACTATATCCTCTCACAGGTTATGCAAGGCTATAGTATCTCTTTTTGTGATTCAGCTTCTACACGTTGAAGCATTTGTTTTCTGACAGTTCTTTTCAGAACTTGTCAGAACATGCAGAGCACTGGTAGGCTTAACACAGTTCTTCATTGGTTTCTCTTTTGATTTAGTCAAATGTAGCTTCAGTCACATGTTAGAAACTGCTTAAAGATCAAAAGGTACAAACACTTTGATTGCTTTCCCCATTGTCCAGTTAGGAAGCTCATCAGCTCAACTGCTTCTCCACACTCTAATGATGCTCCTTAGCCATCCCCTAACTGCAGCTACTGTGAAGAGCTAGAAAAACAGCGGATTGATGTTTGAAAGCTTAACAAATTAACAAAATACTAAGTAGGTGGTCAAAGAATCGGTTAACACAACCACAATTCTTATATTCCTACTTGCTGGGTTTTTTTCCCCCTTTCTCCTTGCATTTTTTTTTTTTTTTTTTTTTTTTTTTTGAACCTCACATCTATTTTTACTTTCTACTCTGCTGGAGTCCTCCTGGGGTTGGGGAGTGAAAAAGAATATCTGAAATGAAGCAGTAAACACTGAACTATCAAATTCTCAGCTCTAACAATGAATTTAGACAAAGAGCACCTGGCAAGTTCAACTACCTGCAAGCAAAATTTATTTTTGTCAAACACGGAACTAATTACCAGCAGATAAGGATTCTAGTTTGTTCTGTTGATAAAACAGAATATGCAGGCTGTATTTAAATATGATTAGGCCTCTTGCTCTTCATCTTGGAACCTAATCCTATTGGTTAGGGGTTCCTTTATTATGCAGATCAAGAGTAAAGCAATAAAACACTTCAAAAAGGAAGACTGAAAATTTGTGATGAAGGACTTTTCATATTCATGACCTGAAATGTATAAAACAAACCACATGTAAGTACCTTGTACTCTGTCTTATATAATGCCATTCTTTAGCCCGGTTAAAAAGTGCCTGGACTATTTATGGAATAACCTGAGATAGACACATTTGCAGTCACCTGAATAATTTGACATATCTTGCCATGAAAATATACCTGCCCTCTAGTTTCAGAAAAGCTACTAGCAGAAGAAATTAGGACACTCTCTGAAAATCTGTCCATATAATGGATTTTTTTTTTAATATGGTAATGCTTCTGGATGGTTAAAAAGAAGCTGTTATGTGAGATTCTGATAATCTTGCTTGTGTACATTCATGTCTGCTGGATAGCTAGTGAATTCTGAAAATGCTAATATGGTATAATCTGCCATTACACATTCATATATTTTTTCCCTTTTATAAAAAAAGTATGTGACTTAGTTACAAATCTGCCAAGTCTACAACGCAAATTTCCATTAGGTTCTGGCCATTTGTGAATACTTGTCCAAAGAAAACTGATATTTCAAGCCCTTTTCTTGTTCTCTAAGTAACAATGAATGTTTTTGACACTTTGAAAGTGCTACTACTGTAGATTTTGCTAGAAATTCTCTCTTGAAACAAAATTGGTCCCTTCTAGTGGAGAAAATTCAGCAGCAAATGCACAAAAAGTGGTGTTTTCTGTACCAGCTAAACACAGATCTAGCAGAATCAATGCAAAGCAAGCTAGACACACTTGAAAAGTTACTACTGCTCATTGATGTGAGTTTGAAAAAATACCTTTGTTTTTAGGTTTTATAAAATCTGGTCAAAATATACTTTATTATTTTATCACAATCTCGAGGAGGGTCGTTTTGGTATATATGCACGAAACTTGGAGCTAAGATGAATGATACACAGCCAGTTTCTTGTTTCCAATGAAAGGATGCTGACTTCAAAATCAGAACACTACAAAAAGGGCATTCCAGCAACAGTGCTGCGAAATCACCCAAACAAGCTGTGGCTTCCCTCTCCAGAGGGCCAGCATCAGCATAAGGAATCTTGCTGCCCAGCAGGATTCCTTATGCTGAAGACTTCATAATGCTGACACCTGTTCTTTTCACATTTGCTGATTTAATGAGTGATGACTTATTTTCAAAAGCTGATCCACTGTTCTTATAAACAATACTTCACACAACATACTTTACACAATAGTGTCAATGAATATTTTACACAACAGTTTCATAAACAATGAACTGCACTTTAGGCGGTTTCAAACTTGACTCTACATCTGGAATTTCCTCATGCTTCAGTTACTCAAAGCAACACTGAAGCACTTCAAGACAAACACATAAGTTGATACTACTTTCTTGGGTAACAGGAAAACGTCTGGATGTTGAATGTAGTAACATTCAGACTAGAAATCTTTAAAAGTACTTGTCTATTTTAGACATATAAATATAGATAATTTTGCAAATGGCCTGCTTCCTCCAGATCCTACTAACTCAGGAGGAAAGGAAAAAGAGACGGAGAATTGTGACTGGTTTCCCAGAAGCCAAGGCAAGAAGCAGAGAACTGGCAGAACAGCGACTGGAACTTCATGAAACAACAGGCCCATAACAGTGCCATGCATGTGAAGAGCTATTACCTATCCTTTTTCGCTGCTTAGTTTATCTTTGTACTGTGAAGATATTTTTCCTCCTTAATTTTTGTTGTTTTCAAGTATAAACTTCAGAGGAAAATATTGTTTTTTAAAAAAAAGAATGTAAGAATTTTTCAAATATAAACAAAGATGATTTTATTTTCACTTTATAAATGTTTTCATTAGTACAAAATACGTGGTCATATTTTCACAGAATCTGAAGGAAAAAAAATCCAATGTAGTCCTACATATGCCATGCATCACTCTTTCTTCAGAAGAGTTATCTTGTACTTTCCACTCCTTGTTCAATTATCAGTTTCACATTTTCCATTCTCTCAGCCAAATTTTGTAATTTCAGGGACACTGATATCTTACCTTACACGGATTTATTCTGCAGACCATGTTTTTTTAATACATCTGTATATATATAAATGTTTATATATGTATATATGTATATATGTATAATGTTTATATATGTATATATAAACCAAGTCACATGGGACTCGGTGGGTATTTTCAGTGCTTATCCTACAGTTTCTGATTTTCCAAATGGAATGTGTAGCTTTCTATTATTAAAGAGAAAGAACATCTGATCAATGTGTTTTATAAACTGAAAAGAAAAAGTAATTTAAAACTATATACTGCAAGCTACATACAGGATATTTTCAATTAAAATTTACAACATGTAACTGTGGTACAAACCAGGGATGCAGAGGCACTTGTAACTAGTTCCAATACTGCGACAAATGCCATGTGCACAAGGGTTCAGAGCACAGAAGTCAATCAGCTGAGCACACACAGGTCCCGTAAATCCAGGACTACAACTGCAGGAGAAGGCAAGTCTATCTGCATAACAAGTTCCATTGTTCTGGCAGGGAGATGAAGCACAAGGGTCTATTTTTTCTTCACAAGAGGTTCCTAAAAACCCTAGAAGAATTAAACAACTTTGGTAAGTAAACATTTTGGCACATATACAAATTTAATAACTAAAATAAAGCCATTAGCATATCTAAAATTATACACAAAGAAATAGGTATACTTCTGAGGAAGTTTTTTTTAAACAAAAATGTAGAAAAGAATATTTGAACAAATTACCATATGCTACCTATAGTCTGTGTTACATACATCATACTGTACCATAAAATATATCAGAAAAGCACAACTGAATTTAGCAGCCTACCAAACAAAAAAACAAATTGTTCTTTGCATTGAAGTATAATCTTTTAATGAATATTTGGTTCATTCCTGCAGACACCACTTTTCCCGCTCAACAAAACAAAAATGCCTGGTCACTATTCCCCCGAAGACCCCTTTACTACCCCTTTACCCTGTGTGGTAAAGCGGTGCCTAAGAGCTCCACGTCCTCATCACTAGGAATGGCAAATTAATTCCAGCAACAGCCTGCTGGCAAACTGAACAAACTCACACTGAATTGTAACATCCCAAGCAGACTTAAAAGAATCTGCAAAGACTTTCAACTCTAACTACAAGGAGATCAGCCAATGAATCCCGTGAAGCCTCTTCACTCTCTGAAACTAGACAAGGTCACCCTGTGATTCGCTTATGCTGTTTCCCCTGTCCCTTCAAAGGGCACTTGCTGGCAGATGGCTAATGTTTCAAGTGACAAAGCACTTCAAGAACATACACAGGTTCAAAATACACTAAAACATGTTGCCCTTGTACTATCTTTGACTGCACTGTGAAATGTGTTTAGTTCATTCTGGAAGTTCAAATCTTGTGTATGCGTTAAACATCTGAAAATACAAGAATCTAAACAGTAGGTACACAGCTGAATTGAAGACCTGTCACTTTGATTTCTTACTCCTTATCTAAATCAGTATCAAGAAAATTGTTGGAAATACAACACAAATCATACACTTAAAAAGTAAAGTCAGAAGTACATTGACAGAAAGCAGAATAAAATGCTGGAAAAAAAAAAGAAATTCAGGTTCCTATTTATCTGCAGCTAAACAACCTCTGAATTTTTCTTCAGCTGTCTAAGAAAAGCCCTGCATCTAGGTCATTACTGGTATAACACAGACATGACTAAAATGTCAATTCTACCAGTGATTTACATACATATCTGAATGCAAAAGTTCCATAAAATGGATCCCTAAAATGGATCAGGCTAGGAGTCAAGGACAGTAGGAGCAGTAAGTTAGGGCGGTATTCTTCATACAATGTTACAAACCTTCAAGATGATGGCAGAAAGCAGACGAGGAAATGTTTTCAGGGATAGAAAGGCTTTCAGTAAAAGACATTTCTGAGCATGATGGGACTTTAATTACTTACCTACTGAAAGACCAAGAGTCATGCAAAAAACAAGGAAGCTAAAGATTTTCTCAGGTTTCCATACAGATGCTTTTTATATAGTCTAGGGAACAACCAACTTGCCTTGCTATCATGTTGGATCTAGTTCCAGTAAATACATAAATGTGAGAAGTTAAGTCTGTGAAAGCTAGGTCTACTGATTAATGTAATATGATGTAATATAATGATGTAATTTTGTAAGGTAAAACAGAAACTTAGCACAAGGAACAAATAATTAGAATGCAGTTTTAAAACTTGGACTGAAATTCCCCCTAGGTTCATCTTAAAAGATGAAGAACAGAGGCTAAACTGGTTAAAGTATTGAGAAGACCTTTAAAAACAGAAACAATTTGGGAAGATGCCAGGTAAAAGCATTAGATTAGCAGAAAGTACTAGTAACTCAACAGCTATAAAAAAAATTTTAATTAAAAACAGTGTTCTTCAGGCAAATTAAATTTTATTATGGCAATATGAAGAATTCTGCATTGTATAATCATCACTAACCTTGGGAAATCTTATGTATGCAACAGCTGTGTGTCCCACTTTCACATAATCAAGATAATAAAAAGCTTTATTGCATGCAAATCTAAAGAAGTTAAAAATCATATTTTCAAGATATAATATGGGAAAAGGCTTTTACATCAACAGTGAAGCCCGGATAAGATAAAAATCGTGAAACTATTTCTAATCCAGGCAACATCACTGGCACTCTGTTAATTAAAATGCATGGAGCAAATGTGCATTTTCTAACTGCTCTTGCAAATCAACACTAACAAATCACTAACAAATCACAACGTATTATCTTCTTTAGTTGTCAAGCTGTGCACTTTTGAAGCCAGAGAAATCACAGTAAGAACATTCATAAATTTGCTGTTTTCCACTTACAAGCAGCTATTTTAGGGCACTCCTGTTCAGTGTGTTGCCTGGCTATAGCTACCTGCAGCTAGTGAAATTAAACTGGCAACAGGAAAAGAAAATCAGTTCTTAAGAGCAAATTCCAAGTCACCCAGAAATTAAGATACCTAATTTTAATATTGTTTGCCCTTTATTTTCTTCTACAGAGTGGCTACAAAATCCACTATAGTTGGTGAGTATTTTTCAAAAATATATTAATTGGAACAAACAGATTTCTATCACTTCTATCACTGCAGGTACAAAAACTAACAAAAATCCCAAGAAGTTTCAGGCGCTTAGTCAGGTGGATGCTTGCCAACTTTATCAAAGATTAATTTTTTGCTGTAACACTGGAGGTAATTCCTCTGAACATATCACCAGGATATTAAAATGGTTTGCAACAGCACTTCAGAAATATCTTGCTACAGAAGGTTATTTGTTTGTCACTAAGGAGTGATCTACTCTGTTTTCTAAATCCCAGCTTTGCTCAAAACAATATTTCACTACTAACCTTTTTTTTAATAGTATCTTATAAGCAGACTTCCCAAATGCTCTTCAAATATCTAAAGCACTCGGAATATATACATATTATATAAATATCGATTGTTTCACTTTATCAACTTGTCAACTTGCCTTTCTTCACCACAAAATGTAATTTTAATTACGTGTTCAATGAATTTAGTAATTGTGTAAGAAGGGTCTGTTAATTTCTCTGCCTCACAGGATATACTATAGTTACAGCCATTTATTTCCAATATTCTGCTACATCTGTTTTGAATTATTTGAATACTGAATTCCACTTCAAGGTGATTTCAGAATTTACAAAATTTTAGTACAACTTTTCAGTTATTTAAAGAAAATGAAGTAAACAAACTTCTAAAATGACAGGCAACATCCTAAACAGCTAACATAGAAGGCATTTATGCTACTGTCAATACAGAAGTATTTAATATACTGCAAAAGCATAAGAAAATCAGAGCAAATATTTGAAAGAGTGATATGGATATTTACAGAACTATTCTTAATATAAACTTCAAATAGTCATTAACATACTTTTACTACATGTGGATTTTTAGGATCCCTATAAATTTGTTTACAAGGTATATCCACTATTATTATGAAATAATAATTTCTTCCCAATAATTTCTTCTACATCAGTATTAAGATTGAAAATTCTGAATAAACTTACTCATTGTTGTACAAGCTCTTCATTATAGATGTGAGAGTAAAATAAAATTTTCTCTTTAAATAAGTTGAGTCAATATTTATTTCCTAACATATTCCTGACATATTAAAAGCACATACAAGATATATACATACAAAATGGAAATGTCAAGTCAAACCATACAGTAAATTAGTTTTATTAAAGGACTCAATACAGTAAAATGAGTCCTTTACAGTAAAATAGTCTAAAGAATAATCATGAAATGTTCATATTCAATCTAATCTTTTCCAATGCCTCACAAGCTCATCTTCCATAACTTCTTACATGCTTCTTCCATAAACCACAGATCTCATTTATGAGATATAAATGTACCATGTTCAGATCATTCCTCATTATTTCCAACTCATACTTCCATCTTCTTTTACCCTTTTCTGTCCATCCACATTATTATCTCCAAGTTCTCCACTCTTTCAGTTTCTATACACATACGAGCTCCTAGGCTGACTTTCCCCCACTGTGCTGAATTAGCACTTTAGAAAGAAAGGCCTCTTCTAAACGAGCAATTACGATTAAGCACAGCAGGATAACAGCAGCTGAGTAAGAGACTCACTTAAATTGGAAACAGATAGTACATTTTTTTTTGAAATGGAAAATTTTAAAACATTTTAAAAATAGCAAATCTGCAAGTTACTGAACCTACAATTTTCAATTAGCTATTCTTTATTTGCAAAAATAACGAAAGCTCTTCAAAACCCAAAAGCTCTCAAAATATGCCTCCGTGGTAGAGGATAATGCCTGAAAAGACGACAGAAGAATTGGGGCAAAGGCAGTCATTAATAAATTCATACAATGCATTTTATTCTATGGCATCTAGAAAATCAACCCGTTTTCTCTATCCACAAAATAACTGCTTTCCTGAGGCTGTTAGGATCAGAACAATATGGAAAAGTAAGTTTTTTTTTTTTTTTTTATTGAGCCCACAGCCTGCTCCAGGGCACTAGTCTTTTCAGACAGATTCTAATCTTAATTATAAGTAATAGAAGACCTCATAATTGAGAGCATCTACTCCTGAAAAATGTTTCAATGAGCAGTTTAGACATCTGCCATTCCGGTTAGCAAAAAAAAAGCTAAACTTCAGCATCACAGTGTCCTCATTTCACTCCGACACGATTACGGTGTTTACCAATGAGAATCACTGAAAAGCTTTCACGTAGAGAAGAAAAGCAGCCCAAACAGAAGGGAGAATGAATTGAAACTTCAGGGGATTGAAAATATTCCTTTGGCTTTGAATTATTACATACTTTTTAGCAAACTGACCCAGATGTAGCAATACCTAAATAGAGCAAGGTGGGCAGCTTCTGTGTCACACTTTCTGGATAACACAAAAGACAGGACACATTCAAGGGGCACTCACACTCTCCCTCAAAGGCTGTAGCCTCATTTCTACTGTAGAGATATCAGGGGATGGAGGGAGCTTTTCTGTTCAACATATATGCTAGAACATTAAACTCCAGACATGCTTTATGTATGACTGCTGATGACACACAGATTTCTCATCTGGAATTTTATTTACTAACAATGTGTCCAAGACACAGTTCCAAATATATTTCTAACTGAAAAACTAGACTTAGCACAGCCCACAAAACAGCAATTCATATGAGATAGCAGATAAGTCATCGCTCTTTACCTTCTGGACACTGACAACTGAATCCGTTGATATTGGATGAGCAGGTACCTCCATTCTGGCATGGCTGCTGGATGCAATGATCAATCTCCGACTGGCATAGTTCTCCAGTGTAACCTACAAAACAGCACACAGCATTCAGAAAAAGAAAAAAAACAAAATAATATTTATCATTAAATGCATTATTCAAATAGTATTATTACTTTTCTTCAATAAAATTAACCAAAAGTAAAAAACAGAAGACAGTACAGTCCTTTCATTTTTTAATAAAATGAAATCCTTTGTAAGAACCTATACTTCACTAGAGAAATCTAAATATATAGCGGAAAACTCACAGTGAATTGTATTTCACCAGCAACAATATTCTGATAGCGCTAGTGCATCAAGGCTGGAGATGAAGCAACCATATAACCAATAGCACCATCCCTTTCGAGCAGTGTTCAAATGTATCCTGAATGCCAAGTAAAAAATCTTTAAAAAGGAGACTTTAAACAAGACTTGTCTTTCTGAATTATTTGTGCATATGCTGAATGACTATCATTTGTTCCTACTTCTGGGCTTCAGAAAGGGTGTTTATTTTAAGTGGGAGCTGTGAAGAACTGCTCAGCACAGTTGCAAAATCTGCCAAATAAGCTTTTCAAAGTTCACAAGCTACAGATTGTACTGCACTATGTGACAAAGTTTGCTTTGTTCCGTATGTTTGAAGTCTACACAGCACATGCAAAATAATGAACATACCAAATACAATTTAAGTAACTAAATACTCCAAACTTAAATTCTAATACCTCTATTAGTACCATAAATTACGACTAGCTAATACTGCAAATACAGTGCTATACAAAGGTTAACTAACACAGTGACTCCAAGGAGCAATAGAGGCCAGGCCTAAACTAGGATTTTGCTCATACAGGAAAAGTTTCTTATCTTCATTGAACAATTCTTCTTAACACAGTTAAAATTAGCACTTACAAGCTTGCCTGTCAAGATAATACTTACATCTGCTCAAATCCATTGATGTCACCATGAAGTAGATCTAAACATAGATTCTCATATTTAGAGTTACTATAGTGCTACTCTAAAAAATGATCCATCAAACTTTCCTTTCCATGTACCTTAGTGTTTTTAAATGATATGGAGAACTACAATCCTATTTTCTGCAATGTGAATACTCGGAAAGAGATTCTATCTGGATTAATACCAGTAAGTCAGCTACACTCATAGGAAGAATGAAACAAAAAAAAAAAGATCTCTACTCTTGTGAAGCAGTGATATTCCCTATTTTTAATGATATCAAATTATCACAAAATTTATGAACACTATAATGAAGAACTACAGAAAATTGTGACAACTAAACCTTTTCATCTAGAGCCTTCATATTTTTCCAAGTGTTCATATTCAGGCAATTTTTTTTTTATGAAATATAATACAACAGTGAATGTGTTTAACTCATTTTTTCCATCTTCAAACTGTTAACAAACTTGTAAAAGTTAAAAATTGCACTGGACTTCAATGTGTATCCAAAGGAATTCTGGCACAGAAAGAGATGAATGATGGTGGTGATTGTGGTGCTCTGAAGCTTGTTAAAAGTATCACCTAACTTCCTGTCTTTGTCATAATAGCTTGAGGCAAAATTCATCAGAGATAATATTTTATGTTATGAAAATAAATACGTTCCATCTTATTATTATCATCTAGACAGGTATGCTTTCTCCAATTAAAATAAAACATTATATGGGAACTTAATAGCAAATATGTGTGCTCTAAATTATGTGTTTCTAAATAATCACCCTAGAAAAAAAGGTTTGTTGGTCAGATACATTTTAAAAATCATTTATACCTATTGAGATTTTGTTCTGTTAAAAATTTTCATAACATTTACTTGTGACAAGATTAGAATAACATGCTATCTTTCATATGCTAATTGCTCTAAAATTTGCAAATGAAGGCATCTACAATAATTACACTTTTATTTTCTGTTTTCTGTAATAATTTTTTTTGTATGCAATGAAGCCCTTTTAGAAACTTATAATTAAATAAAAAAACTGTTTTCCCTGTCTTTTATACACTGGCACAAGCCTGAAAAAAATGAAAACAAATGTATGCATAGAAACGCCAGCCTGCTGAAGCTATCAGCAATTAAGGGAATAATTAGAGACATTTGCAATTAAAAACAAAAAGAGGAAAAAATATTTTAAAATACTTAAAAGCTAAACTTACACACAATGTAAGGTGCTATGCAGCCCCAACACTAGTTCAAGCATTTAACTATACTTCGCTTACTGAAGATTACAGAGGAATTCAATCACACTCACTCATAAGCAAGACCTTTGCATACGGAAACCAAGTTCTTTCATTTAATCTATTGTAAGCTTTATGTTACACAATAGGAGGTAAGACAGCTTCTGTTGAAAGAAATGCTCTGAGTTTTGACATATACCATTTGTTTTTTCCAGTAGGATCTGAGAAATTTTCTAGGAAAAAAACAATTTTACATGGATATATATATTTCCAAACAGATATAAGACAAATATATTTTGTTCAAGAAATTGGCGTGTACTGTTTCCTTTCCACCACGTGACCTTTCCCGTCACCTCATGGTATCAACCCAATGCTTTTTTCTACACGAGTCAACACATCACCCAGTTAGCAACTGAAATGCCTGTCCCTAACACTGACTACGTTTTCAGCTCACTGGGAGCTTTTAGACAACTGGACAGCCCAAATTTAAAAAAATAAGTTAGCACTTGATGATGCAGGTATCTGTCAAAAGTGTTCTCAGAGCATGCAGCTGTCTTTTTTTCTGGCTGAAATTGAGCACTTAAGCTACTTAAGCACTTTTGAAATAATAAGTGCATATCCATAGCTTATAGCACCAAAGTCAAAATGAATTTTGCCCTAAAATGCTTCTGACCAAAGAGTATCTGCAGACTCCAGATGAGAACAACTCTGTTATGGGTACCTGATACAATTTTGCACTGCTTAACTTTCATTGCCCAAGATGAAACCACGTGTTTCTGGACCTGTTCCTCTTTTATAGAATGTGGAAATTACACAGCTTTTTATACCATAGTCCAGTCTGGTGTACTTCAAGGCAGTAATCCTCTTACTTATAATAAATATACACCATGATCATAATAAACAGAAATATTTAGGCATTTAAATCATTGTACCAATTGTATAACATTTGCTTTAGCAACGGACTATAATTTGCAATCTCACAGGAGAAATCACAGACCTGACCTGAGTGTAATAACGGAAGGAACAGCCACCTTTGAGGCTCACACATAAGCAGGAAGGATATTTCTGTTCCTCTGCAGAACTGAGCTGTACAATATTAGAATCTTTATGTTTTCCCAGCAGAAACATTCCTAAGCGTTCTGGTAAGCAGAAGTGTTTCCCCTTAAAGCTTTCTTCACCAAACTAAACACAAGAGTTTTAATAGAAAGTATATACTGGCATTATTTTGTATTTATTTTGATGTAGTGAATTTGAAAAAAGAAATTTAGCCAAATAATATTTGATGTAGAAGAATTTAAGATATGTATCTAGGGACAAAAAGAGATAAAAATTGAGGTCAATAAAAAAGAAAAACAACTTTTTATTGTCCACTTAGAAATTATATGTCAAAATTCCAAAATATTCTGAATCAACTATATTCAGCATGATATTAGAGATACAAACTGTTCAAGCTGTTCAACTTTCAGGATTGCTCCACTATAATCTTTCTCTCCTTAAATGAACCTTGAAGTTAATATAATTTAAATCATCACTCAATTCTATTTACATGTACCATTATATTAGCAGCTGAGCTATTTGCATATTTACAAAATAGAAACAGAATATATATGTGCAAATAGTGAATTTATGATCTAATTTCCACAGCAGATTTGTTAGAAATTCAGGTCATTATATAAAAATCCAAATATAAATCACTTCTTTGCTACACATTAAAGGTAGTCACCCTATGTAAAAAGAACTAGAGATGAAGTTCTAGAGGCATAACAAGCACATTTGTAGCAAACTCATTGTTTTTTCCGAAGGAATGAAGGGAATTTGTCATGACTGCAGTTGTGAACTAGGAGCTGACAAAACAATTAGAGGGCAGTACACAACCATCATATTTAGTTTATCTTTTTTTTTTTTTTTTTTTTTCCTCCAATTAAGATGTCTCTATCTGACCAATTTTTAAAAATAAATCCTCAATCAATTCCCCAAATTACTTGGGTAAGTCTCTGCACTTTTAACATGCTTGCAAAGTTCAAGTTCGTTTTGAGGAACAATCCATCAGTTACAGAGTTCAGAGCAAATTTTTTCCATTTGGCTAGTGCATTTGAAGAAAAGCATTTACCAGGTACAATGAAGACACAATTGTTTAAAGGTTAGTTCTAACGCATATTTATAATTTTTTTAAAAAAATCAGATTAAGGAGAATTTTATTTTAGGCAGCAAACTAAATCCTTTTCTTTGCATCTCTGACTGTTAAAGTTCTATTAGATATGCATAATTCACTCATTAAGTTATGGCTCAGACTGTGGCAGTGTGCTTCCAATGGCATTGTTCACAGGGGAAGAATATTTGATCCTTAGGTTCACGTATTTTTATCTTTTGTTTTTTCCTTTTTTCCCCCCTGCTTTGCTAATATTTGAAGATGCACAGCTCACTGCTCTGCAGAAGATATGCGCAGAATGTTAAAACAAAAATGCATTATTTAAAATGTAATGTAAGACCTACCAGTCGGGCAGGTGCATGTGAAATTCTTTCCATCATGTTTCTGTATTACATCTGTGCAGGTTCCATTGTTCTGGCAGGGCTGCCTTTGACAAGCATCAAATTCTTCACATAGAGCACCCACATACTCATCCTCACAGTCACAGAAAAAAGTTGCCTAAAAAGAAACAGAATATGCATTCACCATGAATTGGCAAAGACTGTGTTCTCACCAAGAACTCTACTAAACAAAGACGGGTTTGTTGGTTTTCTATTTATAGCAAAAGCAGTTGCCACAAATATATTACTACAAGTGTATGCACAAAAGCTGCCCACTAAAATAATAAATTTGCCCCAGTCCTTCAGTTATATTTTCCATGATGTCGGAGAATTTCATCTAAGCAAGTTGGAATCACACCTCTAATATACAAATCACTGGGTTTTTTTTTTTTTCTTCTTTCCTGTTCCACAAATTGAATTAATAGAATGGAATAATTGCTAAGATATGTAACAAGCAGTCCTGCACAAAGGCACCACTCTACGTGAAGAGCAGGGATGACAGCCCAGAGCCTTACTTCAGAAGTTTAAATTAAACCTTAGACACATCTTCAACTCTGTTAAAAAGAAGCCTTCATCTCAATGTATTTAGTATATTTCATAAACTCACCATCTAAAAAAAAAGATCAAATAGCACAATATCTGTTAAAGGCACCTGATAAGGACTTTTCATAGGCATAATACGGCATTCTTCACTTTTCTTGGTAATAAAATCATTTAAAATTAGTTTAAAAAGAATCATTAGACCTCTAAAGTTGGTAAGGAAATCTTGTAGGATGGAAGACTAAGACACTCTTACCTGTAGTACGCATTTAGATTAAATAACTTATTTTATTTGTTCATTAAGCACTAGATGGCAACATCACTCACTCTCCCATACACTACAAAGCCAAATCAGCACGGGCGAGAACGTGTCCTTTCCACACAAACATTATAATGCAAAGTACAGCATGCACATGGCACTAGCAACAGAGATGGGTTTAGTATTTTATTTGCTATTTTTACTTGTGTTTTCTTTATATGAATAAACAGCTGCGCATTAAACAACAATAACAAATAACAATCCTCATACAAATAACAATCCTGATACAAATAAGGACTGTACTCCAAAAACTCAAGATAATATTCCTTCTAAAAAAATACTGTATTGGTTGAGCCTAAACAAGGATTCCTGAAATACATCTCCAAGATGCAATGTTATAAGTGTTTTATTTACCAGGACTGCTAAATACACAGTCTGTGCATGTTCTGATATTTGTCCAAGAGTGCTCACAGAAAAAGCTCAAAATGTTAGCAATGACAGGTTTCCAAAGAAAGCTGCAGTTCAACTAAAAGGCAAGACAGACAGGCAAAACACAGACTAAAATATTATAATTGTATCCAAAAAAAATACTATCCTCACTTAATACAATAACTTGCTCTAAAGATAATTCATACATGTGGCACAAATAGATAGCACTTTTGCCCAAGAATTCAACTAGAAAAATATGCAGTAAATATTTGCACGTTTCCCTATGGTATTTGGGGAAAACACATCAATTCATAGTAGTAATCTTCAGAGTACTAATGTACAATGGAGTAACAAAAAAAACCTCAACATTTATGTTGGCTAGTGCTCCTTCATAAGATTTAATCATTTGTTCTTAAAACTAAAAACAGTTATTAAAATGTTGAGTATTAACATATTTAAGCAGTGTAACAATTCACCATTGCCTCAACAACATTTATTAAATATGCAATTACAAAAATGCCTAGATAATATAGATACCTTTGTAAGAGTGTAATATACGAGAATATTTTATCTTAAAATACAGTTAACAAAATGGGTTTTGAAAGCAGTCAAGGAAAAGCATTGTAGCACATTAAACTGAAATGTCTAATGACAGATAATAGTTCTGAGGCACAGACAAGTTATTCTACAGAGAAGATTAGGTGTCATCTTTTTTATTAGGCATGTCATCTTCGCTTTTCCCAAAAGATAATATTAATTTTTTTCTTGACTAAGTGACATATGCTAGCATATTTGAGGAAAACTAAATGCAGAAGAAACTACACATTGCCATAATGCTCCTATTAAAGTCATTATCTTAAAATTCCCAAACAATAATCTATTAATAGACAGTTCATCTATGTATTTTACTTGATTATAGAGTATGAATCCCTAGGTATAGAGAAGGTATGTATCATTTTAGATGGTAATAAAACAAATGGATTATAATAATTTAATAAACCAATCCCAATCTCTGTAGGTTATTATAAATATAGTTGGAATGTAGTAAATTTATATTCCTATTTTACATAAGGAGAAGTGATAAAGTGCTCATCAGATTCTAAATTTCAGATTAAAGAGAGGCCATAAAAGTTCATCATTTTCCTGTAACAGAGACGTCCTTAGGATGACCAGAACAAATGAATTTCCACTCTTCTTTTGTTGAAAGGCAACCAGCATTCATTGCAATCAATATAGTAAATTATTATGTTATATTGTATAATAGACACATACATCATACATATTTACATATATACATATATACACACACACACACACACACGTATATCTCAAGTGGACCTTCCCCACAAGCTTCTAGCCCATAGAGAAGATGTGTGAGTTACTGCTACTCAAACGGTTGCACATCAATGCAGAAGTAGAGACTAGTTATTTTTGTGTTAACCTCAAGGGTTCTAATTCCAAACAGAAACTTTGTATTTGGTATATTCTGCTCTTTCACATTTAAATTGGTGAGCTGAAGTTATGTGATGATGTGCACTACATGGACTAACCAGAATTATGGCCCTTGGACCCAGTCGATATTCAGAACTTAAATGAAAATCCTATGCAGAATCAGAAATTCATACACAGACTTTATGTATATATTTGCAAACAAATATAAATTAATATATAAATACATAAATATAAGTATATGCACATATATATATATGTATGCATGTTTGTGTGTAAATGTGTACATCTGGGTTTAGTACCAAAGTTTCTCCTTTTCATTCATGGATGATTTCTTTGTGGATCTGCTGTAAAGCTGTGTATATAAAGGTGAAGTAGATATTCATGTCATGATGATGCCATGACCAGTATTATCTTTCTGACACATTTAACTGCTACTGTGGAAGAAATCCAAGCATAGCAGCGAAAGAGAGGTACAAAGTTCATACAAAGAAAAGAATGGTATAGGTTATCACTTTGACTCAGCATCATCTCGCTTCACAGAACTTAGAAAAAAGTGGTGAACTTATGTTGTTCTCAGTGACAACAGTAATTTATAAAAGAAACTGTCATTAAAATTTTCAATTTTTATGTCTACATTCTAAAAAAATCATCTACTTAAGTAGAAGCCATCTTATCTTCAACTAGTAAGGAATGAGTTAGGATAGAGTTTACTTGGTTATAGTTTTACGTGTTCCGCTGAAAACAGTATGCCACTACAATTATACTACTGAAGATCGCTAATTAGAGTTAACTTTTCCATTAAGCAGATGTATTCCTGTATTCTTTATCATTAAACTACATTTGAAAGGAAACTATGAACTACATAAAAACACAAAGACCATCATTAATCTTGGCACTGGAAGCAATGATGATGGCCAGTGTAACTCACAGCTGATTCACAGCATTAGCCTTTATGCACGCTCCTACAGAACTTCCTTTGCATCCTGGAAGACTAGATAGCAAAAACACAATGAATTATAAACAAACAGCAAATCACAAAAACCACATTGTAAAACTAAAGAAAATTAAAGTTGCAAGCTTGCAAAAAGAAATGTGTAAGATGGGGACACTTATACAATGGTTGCTACATGTTCATCATGTAATTTGAATGGTTGTTTGCTCCATCATGAGGGAAATCATTATGGCATTTTAGTGACTGTCTCACCTAAGATGAGTTAACTGGCAAAAACATCCTGCTTAATGAAAGAGGCATCTTCTATTTTTAACTAAAGAGTTTTTCACGCTCTGTCTGAATCCATTTCCTGGGTTAAATACTATTATAGAATCACAGAAATATAGAAGCATAGAATCATTATGGTTGGAAAAGACCTTCAAGATTACCAAGAGCAACCATAAACCCATCACCACCATGTCTGCTAATCCTAAGTGCCTCATCCAGACTGCCAAGGATGGTGACTCCACCGCTTCCCTGGGCAGTCGGTTCCACTCTTCACCACTCCTTCCATGTAGAAATTCTTCCAAATAAGTACCCTGAAAGAAACCTGGAGCAACTTAAGGAAATTTCCTCTTGTCCTACAGTTACTTTAAAGAAGAGATCAACCCTCGCCTTACTACAACCTCCTTCCAGGTAGTTGTAGAGAGCAATAAGGTGTCCCCTGAGCCTCCTCTTCTCACGACTGAACAACCCAGCTCATGCAGTCGCTCCTCAGAAGGTTGTGCTCAGGCCCCCTCACCCACTTTGTAGCTCCTCTGGTCACACTCATGGAACTCAGCTTCTTTCTTGTAGTGAGGGGGTGGAAAGCTGAGCACACTATTCAAGACACTCCACATGGGCAGCAATGGTTATCACACTCTGAACCCTAACCCTACCCAGTTGTGTAAGTTGAACCTGAAGCCAGCAGTCCCATTGAAGAGTCAGAGTCAAAAGTGTCCCTGGGATCAGACGTGGCTGTAGTGCTGCATGTCCTTCGCCACACCCATCCAGCCCTACTTCAACTCCCACACTTTATGAAACAAAGACAAAAAGCATGTACATTTTTTATTTGAAAGGGAGAGATATCAAGGATATTGCTCTTTCTAGCTTTTTCTGATTACAATGTAATAGAGGATGCCTTTTAAATAAAGGTCTGAACACGTTTTTCTATCTGTCTCATAGCTTCAGCTACTGACATGTCAGTTAGCTACAACATAGCATAGGATATGTCAGAAACAGTACCTCAATCAATTTTTATTACAATCAGGTTCAAAGAAAGAACTGGGTGGAGAAATAACATGAAAAATTCATGACTTCTGTCCATGCTCTGAGAAAACGAAAAACAGGCTGAGTCTGCAGGAGGGAAAGATCTTTTCCACTAACAGTTCTAGTTTTATCTTAGGAAACTTTCAACATCAAGATTAGAAGTGGTGATGTGAAGGTCCCGATTTATATATTCTGGAGTGCTATAATAGCTTTCTTTTCCTGCCATGAAGCCAAATTGTCTTCTCTTTTAAAAATAATTTCATTTGAAAGTAAAATCTTGTGTCTTCAAAACTTATAAATCATGTTTCTCTATTAAAGGCAATATCTAAGCATCTTCTTTAAAAACACAGAATGGAGACATTAAAGCCTCCACATGGATACAAACATTAACATCTTTTTTCTTTGTCATATACCACATGGAGTAAGAGAAAGAAATTGGAGACATAAAAATGGACAAGTAATGCAGAAAACAGAAAATTAAATAAGACCATCAAAGCCTTTAACTCTTAACTTGACAAAAACTGGAAAGCGAAAGGCATTCTGTTATGTCATTGCATATAGTAATTTTATGTATTATTTGCTTAAATCAAACATAAAACATTGAATTTCTAAAAGATGTCAAATTCTGCATTAACTGGATTATGAAGCAGCACATTCACATCTGAACGGACTGCTGTTGTATATCAGCCAAGTGGCATGGCAGGGTAGCATTTACTTTTAAAAGCATCTTGCAGTAATTGTGTTCACACATTACCTGAGGCTTTTTAAAATTTCACTTCTAAGAAATGAAGTCGCTCAATTATTCCAGATGTTAGCACTGTCATGTATATATAGATATTGCAACAGATTAATTATTGCTGTTACATTCCCAATGGACATTTTCTATCAAACATACTTATTGTGAATTTAAAATCAGAAAGTGGTAGCAGACGAACTACCACTGAATTCCCTAAATATGATGAATTCCCTATGCTCGCAGCAGGCTCACAAATGTTCATATTGACTCAACAGTTACTATGGCTTTTATCTCCCAAATGAATATTAATAAAACCTAAGATCAACTGCACATATTTGTGCTGAATATTACCTTTAATCCATGAAATAAAATCAACATATATAAAAGGTAATAGAGAATAAACGATCTCAGTAAGGGAAGGTCAGTCTGATTTTGTAAACTCATTGTACACGATGAAAATTCACTACATTCTCCTCTTTTATTTTTTCATGTCACCATATAATATACAAAACAATATCACAGGGGCCAGGAGAGCTTTTATCTCCATTATAGTCTCTCAATATGCTATATAATTATTTAAAGAAAAGAGCTGTACAGTGAAAACTAAATGGATATGCTCTCTACCCTACTCAGACAAAGGCAAGGCAATTCCCAAACATCCATACTGTTCAGACAGTTCCATGGCACTATTCAGTAACTGTGAATAAGCGTAAGACATATGAAGAGAGAAAGAGAGTGCTTGATTTCTATAAATGACAAGAAAAAAAATTATTATTTAGCAACATCTCTAGACTTTTGAAGCCTATAGCACAGCAGCAGGGAATGCACATACTCAAAGCATCAAGTACATTTAGCCCCCATTTCTGCGACCACGTAATTTCCACTCTAAACACCAATCTCAATAGGTTCACCTTACCTCACCGGCTTGTGTGATACATTTTCCTTTCCCTGAACACTCGAAGCTGTCCGAATGGCTGCCCACAGGCAGGCAGGTACTGACTTTCACTACTACAGTCAAGCGTAGAGCCACAATGCATTTAGTAACCGAATCATTCAAAAAACCTGGGGGGGTGAGAAAAAAAAAAAACTTTTCAAAATTTGTGCTAATGTGCTAATACACATTAATGCTTTCTTATAGTTAGACAAACAAAAGGGAATTCAAAGGAACTGCCAACTGAGAACATCACTGTTCATATTTCATAGAGACATTTTGAAACGTAATACCTTTAAATTAAAATTGAAACAGAGTTTGGAAACATGTTAAAATACTGATATTGACCAAGAGAAAGAAGACAGACCAATAAATGAGACCTACCTTTAGGGCTCTGATCTACACTATTTTGGAAAAAAAAAATTGCTTAAGATAATGTTTAATTATGAAGTACCTAACATTTTTAAAAATTACACTCTCATTTGGCTAACTTCTAAGAAAAATATATTTTACTCCTCTAGTTATATTTTGATTAAGCCAAATTCAGCTTAACCATCTAAAATGTAGGTGAACTCCCTTATAATATCGGTAATATTGTTACATAATGTTACAGTCATAGAAACATGGTGGGATTATACTTTTCTTCAGAAATGAATACTGAGAGATTAAGGAAAGAAAAATACTGGTTTTAATGCAAATATCCTTAATATTAAAGGGAATGACAATAAAGAGAGGCCGGACATACATGACTCAGAATGATTTTCTTGATATTTTAAACTTCAAATTCTAGAATCCATTAACTGCTTGAGTCTCAAAGGATTTCCCAAAAAGTAATCCATCTTCCTGCACTGACAATATTATATCCACTCAAGGGAAAAAACAAATCGTTACAACACAAAAATTTGTAATGAACAGTAATAAAACAAAGTTTCAAGAAACTGTCTGTATTTCAAGTGAATTATCTTTCCAAAATTGCTGCTATGGACTATTTGCATTTTATATTTGGAATAGTGAAGTTCATTAATGCCAAAAATTCTATAGAAAAACATAAAGACAGCCGTTCTTTGTTCTTAATTTTTAAATCTCATTTTTAAATGCTGCATTCTTTGAACAGCTAGTTTATACTAGGAACACTGACCTCCTAAACTGTAACTTCAAAGAAGGAAAATGTCATATCCAATATAAACGTCATGAGCTTGATTATAACCTCTAAGAGGTATTAAATATTCAAAAAGATTAGGTGACACATATTAGGTATAGTTGCTAATATCTAGTGGTCTGTTTTGGCTATTGAAGATTACTGTAAGCTGATGAGCAAAGCCAATTTGTTCCAGCCTTAATACATACCACACTTTTACCCATCTGTTCAAAGATTCAGCAAGAATTTTCTTCTTTAACAATAGAAGGAGATTGTCAGAGGTCATCATGCAATTATATGTGAATGCTCAGAAGAATGTGGTATTTAGGAAATGTCTTTGGGTTCACATTCGCTTGTCTGAAGCAGACTGTTACATATTCTTCAGGACAGTTCCCTAAAGGAATATTAAATCAACCTTCTTTGTACTTTGACTCTTGTTACTATTTTGGTACCAAAGTCCTTAGGCAAACCAATGAAAAAAAAAAACCATTATTCTCACTGGAATGCCACATTTTTTTCCTGAAATTTCCAATTATCTCAACTAATTTCCAAAGACTAGGAAAAGAAAAATACAGCTATTGATTTTCCCTCCATAGTGGTTACATACAACTTTCTGAGATCTTTAAGCTTTAAGGCCCTGTCTGATCTTCAAGTTCTAATTTAAAGGTTCTTCAGATGAGAGAGGGAGAGACCGCCAAGGCGCCTGGCCACTCATTTACAATGCAGCACCAGTCTACAAATTTTTCAAATTATTTTTAGCCTAGTTTCCCAAGAAAATGAGACAGCAGTGGGATGTCTATCAGTTTCCATCTGTTCCCTTTTTCTCCTTCAACACTAGCCCACACCAAAAGCTTTTGAGGTCACAAATCAACTTCAACATTTTATAAAAGCAGTAGAATTCAAAGATGCTACAAAAGTTCTTACAGCTTCCTTGCCCGTCACGGTCCTTACAACTAAGGGGACTGGTAGGTCAAAATGAATAGGAAAACAAAAAGGGCCCAAGAACAAGCTGATGTCATTTCTCCATGCCATGTAAATAGTACAGTCAGTTCTTCACTAGTAGGACAATGGAACTACAGATATATTCAAATACAAGAAAAACAGATACTATCACTGCTTCCAGCCCGAAGCTGTGGCGCTGGCTGGGTGCACCGCACCTCCAGTTCATGGGATCAAGTGCCATAGTGAAGGTATAACCAGGGCAACCACAGTTTCACTTCCAGAAGCAGCTGCCACCAGAGCACCCTGAACTGCTGTTTGTGAGCCTTAGGAGCCAGGGACAGAAGCTACCCAGCTACTTGTTCACTCACAGTTAATGGCAAGTCAGAGAAATAACCCAAGTTGTCAAGGCCACTAAGGCCTATTAGATCTCCCAGGACCCTGACACCAGTGCTGTTGTATTGAATTTCAAACAACAGATCAGAAATAAATTAGCCTCCAAATACAGACTAGAAAAATAACTACCCAGAGCTACTTGCTAAAAATACAGACAGCTATAGATAAAAAAGAACTGTGAATACTATTTTAATTAAAAGTTCTCTGAAGAGTAAACATCATGTAACTTAAAACACAATATTTCAAAAAAATCTAAGTAGTCTCATGACTATTACATCTTCCTACAGTTCAGAAAAGGCATATAACTTGATAATGAAGCACAGGGAACAATATTCTTTTTAAACATAGCCTTTTTGCAGAGCCTAATGACATTTTACACAGTGTTTTTGATTTCAGCTTTTTAATTTTTTCCCCAGAAGTCTCCTTAGAACAAGTCGCTCTGTGCAAGTTTTCAGGCTATCCACACCCTGCTGCTGCTATCAATTATTGAGAGGACATTTTCCGCCAGACCAGCTCCTGTGCCCAACAGCCCAGGGAAATGATCAGAGTTCATCCCTCTGCTTCCCGCAGCCAGGCCCTCTCCAGCAAAGCACTCACGTGCAAATGAAAATCCCATTAACCGGAGCAATGTGCACCAACCTGTGCAAGTCACCCCCCAGCCTGACTTGCACAACCAATTCCCATCACGTGCAAGGTAGCGAGCCACAGCTGGGCAGCAGTAACTACACGAACACCCGCTCCGTGGCATACGCAAGGCAGAGCTAACTAGCGTAGCCCACAGCGAAAGCAGGTTCAGTCAAACGATGTCACTCATCCCCTGGGCTAAGAGGTCACACAGATGCTCAGCTGATGTGTGGCAACTTGTTAAAGCTAGAGAGCCACTTGATTACGTGGCTTTCAGAGAACTCCAGTTCAAACACTTGGTATAATGAAATAGAATTGTCCTATTGTAAACATTATTTCAGCACACAATAAACCCCAGTTTTTCAATGGATATATACATTAAAAGAAGAAAAAACTCAGAAAGCATAAAAGGGCACATGCCATCTAAAACGTGGTTGTAAACTTGTCTCCTGGCTTTTCCTTTCTTTAAAAAGGCTTGTTTTTTTTTTTTTTTTTTTTTTTTGTGGAACTCAAAAAAGCTGCCTGCTTTATCTTACCATAAAGATGCTGTAGAATGCATTTTTCAAGCAAGTTCATAGAACTATCAATTTGATTTAGATGAATACTTTGAAATATTCATAATTACAGTTGAAATATGCATTGATCTAAAGCTTTATTACAGCTGCAGATTACACTCCAGATGTTTCAGTTTTTCTTTGCCACAACAAAATAAAAGACCAAAATAAACACTGTAATAGAAAGCTAATGCTAGAAGATTCATTTTCCATTCAGATAAAAGTATTTTGCTTCCATTCATATTAAGTATGTCAAACCTTCTGCTTTATTATCTGTGAGGTCTTATCAGAAAAAAATAGCAATTTGGTTTCTAAATTTCTTTTTATTATTTCTTTTTTATAATCAGACAATAAACTGAAAAAAACTAATGTAGCAATATCTCATGAAAGCTGGTTTTTCAAGGTGTATCTTAGAAGTGCTAAATAAAGCAAGAGTCTTAAAATAAGTAATTTGAAGTCACTAACAGACTTTTTTATATGATTTTAGGTATATAAAATTTTCTACTGTATTACCAATGCAGAAATTGAGACAAAATACTAATACTTCCTAGTGTGTCTGTTTTTTGTTATTTTTCCAAAGGATATCTCATTGTTTTTGCTTCAGCACTAGGCACACTAAAATAATAAAATTTAAACTCATTTATCTGGGAAGCTGATGAGAAGCAGGTTTGGCCAACATAAACCACTGGAAAACCTGAAAACTTGACAGCATTAAGTGAAGCAGTGATTGCACTTTTGTTGTTTTTGGCAGGGAAGGAGATGGGTTGCATGCAAATGCATGCCAACTGAATGCTCCACATAATGCTCAAAACTCAAGATAAACACCTCTTACCTCTTAAAATTTAAGTGATAATCATGTAATAATTAACAACATGTATTTTTATTATCTGCTTTTGAAATTCATCAGAAATAAATAACATAAGCCATGGTGTTTTTTTATTGTCAGTATAATTGGACTGTCGAATGTTATTTGCTACAGCGAAAAAAATTGAACAGCCTGAAAAATCAACTCAACAGCCAGAAAAATCAGCAGCCAGAAAAATCAGCATTATAAAAATCATCCATTTTTTAATGGCATATTTAGAAAAACTATGTACAGTTTTGAATTCTAAACAATGAAATGCATATTATAGTTTTATTCATGTTAAGGAGAGATGGCAAGTGTCACATAGAGCAAAAATTAAAATTAGAATCCAGAATACTAAATTAATAACCAAATATCCCAAGTTTCTGTGACAGCTGGATGAAAACATCTCATTCCAGGAGCAGCATAGTATTTTGCAGAGGATACAGACAATCCTCTGTAAGCAAAGTATCTCCTACAGCATAAACGCTTATCCAAGCAGTACTAAATCAGGCCAACTCTGAGACCTGCTCTAATGTTACTTCAGTCCAATTACCTCCAGGCAGAGTGGAAATGGTGCCAACTTAAACTGTCTCTCATTCTCATGAGTATATTCTGAGTCATAAAGCACAGAAAACTTCCCTTACTGAACAGCTATATTAACTTAGCACAAGAAGAAACTAACAAATTCATGGAGGGGGAAAAAAAAAAGAATGGTAACCAATCACTATAAGACTTCTAACCACATAAGCATTGAAAAACATAAATATTTTAATGTTGGTATAATGTGGTTTGTTTGTGGTTTGTTTTTGGACAGCAGAACGGATATTTTCAGAATAAATAGTTTTCAATCAGATAAAATTTGGGTAGAAACATGCATGCAACAAATTATAAATGATTTTTGAGAGAGTTACTGCACAAGCTGAAATTACACTAGAATTACACTAGAATAATTAGAAATATCTACAAATAATTTCAGTATCAGAAAATTTGGAAGAAGGATCAAGCAAAATAGATAGGTAGATGAGAAGAGAGCAGTGAGTATTGTCTAGGTTGACTTAAAGAAGGCTTTTAACACTGCCTTGCAAGACATTGTCAGAGGCAAGCTGAAGAAGTACAAGCTAGATGAGCAGATGAGCAAGGTGGATGAAGAACTGGCTGACAGGCAGAGCTCAAAGGGTTGGGATCATCATCCAAAGTCTACTTGGAGGCCTGTAGCAGCTAGCAGTGATCCCCAGAGGTCAATACAGAGTCCAATGCTGTTCAACTTACCCGTAAATGACCTGCTTGAAGGGACAGAGTGCATCCTCAGCAAGTTTGCTGATGATACTGACTCAGGAGGAGCGGCTAATACACAAGAGGACAGTGTTGCTGTTCAGAGGGACCTTGACAAGCTGCAGAGATGCGCAGAGAGAAACCTCAAGTAGTTAAGAAAGGTAACTGCAGAATTTTGCACCCGAGGAGGAGTAACACCATGCACCAGCATAGGCTGGGAGAGCAGAGCTCTGCCAAGAAGAATCTGGGAGGCCTGGTGAACAGCAAATGGACAACTAGCCAATGTGCCCTTGTGGCCAAGGCCACCAATGGCATCCTGGGCTGTGTTAGTAAGATCACTGCCAGCTGTTTGAGGGAGGTGGTCCTTCCCCTCCATTTTGCCCTGGTGAGACTGCATCTGGAGTGCTGTGTCCAGTTCTGGGCTCTCCAGTGTACAAGAGATATGGAGCTACTGGAGTGAGTCCAGCAAAGGGACAATAAGATGATTAAGGCTAAGGATCTCATATGAGGAAAGTCTGAGAGATCTAGGACTGTTCAGTTTGGAGGACTGAGGAGGGATCTTATCAGTGTAAATAAATATCTAAAGGAAGAATGTAAGGAGAATGGGGCCAGACTGTTCAGTGGGGCCCAGTGACAGGATGAGAGTCAATGGGCGCAAACTGAAACGGAGACAGTTCCAGCTGAACATATAGAACATTATTTATTTAATTGTGGGAGTGACTGAGCACTTGAACGGGGTGTGGATTCTCCACCCGTGGACATATTCAAAAGCCATCTGGATAGGGATCTGAATACAGTCATGGAAAACCTACTCTAGGTGACCTTGTGTAAGCAAAGGGATGAACTAGATGATCTCTAAAGGTCCTTTCCAACTTCAATCATTCTGTGAAAATTTAACAAAAATAGACAGAAGTATAATTAAGAATCTCCAGAAAATCAGTATTACATAACATGAACAAGATTATTAGCACAGTGTTTATGAAGTGCACTTGGCCTCATAAACATCAAGGAAAAAGTGCTTTTCCCCTCCATGCCAGAAAGAACACAGTAAACAAACCAAAGTAAAATCCCAGCGACAAAGACAGCTGAAGACAGGTAAGTAGGTTAAGGTAGCTCTATGAATGAGTACGAGAACATCCATTTTAGGTATCTAAATTAACAGTCAAGGCCATATGGCATCTGAAGTCTGTAACGATTTCCCAAAGCGGCTGGCCCCCTCTGTTTAGGACTAGTCAATAGCTTATTGCCCAAGCTATACATTTAGGTAGCTATCCCTATGAATGCATGACATTTGCAAAATAGCCTGATTTCAAAAACATTTTACCCAGTTTTACCTAGTTGTAGTTAACACTACAAGACAAAAACGAAGTTTTACTCCAGAGAGAGGTACATAAGAAGAGTTTCAACTGCAAAACATCAAATGTAAAACTAGACTGGATGGGGAAGCTGGGGAGGCACTGTGAGGGAGGCAAATAACAAAGAAAATATAAGGGACTAGAACATTTATTGGAAGGAAATGGCTATCACTAAAGAAGAGCCACTGCTGAGGGCAACTGAATGACTACACTGATAACCCTCAAGCTATATCTTTGCTAAGTGACAACTCAAAATTGAGAAAACATGGCACTTCTGCATTTGGATTTTTCTCTGTTGCAGATCCACATCTACAACTGAGGCCAATATTTCTGCATCAGAATGCTTTTAACAAGTTGCTGAATAACAATTTGTGGTAGCTTATACTTCATTATAAGACACACAACATTTCAAGAAGATTACAATAAGTGCTGCTACCACAATGACTTTGGTTTCATGTCTTAATTACAACAAACCATCTGGCCAAAAAGCTCTATTTAATTAAGTCTATTGTGTCTGTGCATGAAAAATGCATTTAAATCAATATTATTTCCCATGCTCTTAAAAATAACGCATCAACCTACTTTCATTCCACCCTTTTCACAAAGATGCTCAACATTTAATTGCCCAGCGAAACATGCAGTTTTTTTCTCAGATTTAATACTTACACCGACAAACCTGGAAGAGTGGAAGTGAAGAATAAATATTCTTACAAGATCAGATTTCCTAACATTATTTTAATAAACTTTTAAAATTTATTATGTACGAGTTTAGGTTTCTTTCCAAAGTATTTCATGATAAAATATTTAACATAGAAAGCCTTTAATATTTGGAAGTGTTTACTATAGCCTTTACTAAAAACCTTACAGCTAATCAAAATGAAATATATAAAACACCTTTTATTATCTAAAGCTGTCAGCATCCAGATTTTAAAGTGGGTAGTGCCACGTATGTAAGTATTTAGTGCCTCTTGTCTGCTTTGAATGAACAGAATTCCAAACATGGTTTCACTATCGCATCAGGATCTTTGATCACTAGCTAAAAAACCTCGTTCTCTAGGAGTTTCTCCAAAGGTTGGGTAAACCATTGACTATCCCCTTCAACTAGCAAACAGAAAACTAGCACATTACTCACCAATAAAGTAGTTGTGTCCTAATGCAAGCATTTCTTCAGGAAGAACAAGTCCACCAAGTGCCTGGAGGAGAGTTACACTTCTGCCATCTATAAGGGAACACTGCTTGAATCCAGTTGTTGTCACTTTCCATAGCAGGATAAGAGAAGCTGTAGCATCTTGCCTTATGCTATGGAAAAAAAGATAAAAATAGCTATACTGAAGAAAAATGGCATTAGAAAGTACACCTCTGTGAAATAAGAACAAAAAGGAAAAACTTAATACAACAAGTATAAAACTCAGAAAAGGCCAGATGCACATAAACTGAGTTTCTAGCTTCACAAAAAAAGAAAAAATCCCAAACACTATCTATGGAAGCAGGGCAACTTGCACATTTTCTCCCATTTTCAATATCTCCACAAAATAAAAGAACTCAATATTAAGATTTACTAAATTAATGCAATCATACACACACTCCATTTCTAATACTTGAGGGACAACATCTTAATGTCCAATAACAGTTTTATATAATCATTATGTAACACAATCACTGCTTTCTTCACTGTCCGGATTCAAGGCTTTTCACATATTACCTCCCTTCTACAACTACTGTGCTGTCACTTTCTGCAGCTGAAACATATCCAGCCCTCTTGTTCACTGAGGTAATTATATTCCACACTTGGAGACTGATGTTAGTAGAAATCTTCATTTGTTTGATATACTGGATTGAACATTCAGAATAGTTTATTCTTGTAAATCAAAGGAGTCATTTAATGCACCCAAGGTCGCTGATTCTGTAGTGATTTCCTAAACAAAGACAGATTGGATAAAATATGATAATCTCTAACTGCATATATACTCTCAACCCCACAGAGTGGTTTTTTTTTGTTGTTGTTTTTTTGTTTTTTTTTTTTTTTTAAGCAAACACTATATCTATATCCGTTTTTATTTTGTCTCAGAGCACTTTTTCAACTCACCTCCATAAAGAAAAAAATAAAGTTTGGCATGTATCTGGAAAGTTTCAAAATATTTGCATTACTTTCTTCTGAATGAATTCCAAATACACTTGAAATCCTCCAAAAATTCCAACACAACTTTATCCAAATGCAGAATACTAGTAATTTTTGCGTAAAAAAAACATTCCCATCACAAGAGCTGACCAGCTCGCTTTGAATAACAAGTTCTGTTAATGTGAATGCAATAGAAAATAGTTCACAGTTTAGTGACACCTGACGGCCAAAACAAAAGAAAACTATTGAACTGAAGTTATTATCCTTACATAGGTACATAGCCATTGAACTGGAGATACTACACATGCCATTAACACAGGACTTGAATGAAAGGAAGAAAGACATTACAAGTGACCGGGAAACTGAGCTGCTTCAGCTTGTAGACAGTCTAAACACACAACCATCTAACATGAAAAATGGCCATGGCTTTCCAGCCCGCTCTGCCCAGATTAGCTGTCAAAATAAAACATTACTCAAGGCAATACAGTATAAAAAATGACCAAAAAAATGTCTGCATACTCTGTAAACTGCTTTTAAGCGGAACCCTCCATCAAGGGTTTTAAATACAGCTGTAAAAACTACTAACTTGAATGTATTCTAGTTTTCAGGAATAAGCAGCAGTTATTTGCTTACAAATTCCAAGCAGCCAGAGCAGCCTTGGCTTCCTTACTGAGGTTGATAAAAGCTAATCAATGAACATGACTCAATGTTGCACAGGAAGAGTAAGACAGCTCCCCCTTTTAGCAGGCCCTGCTCCGATCTGTCTGCAGCCTGTCTGCTTGCATCAGTTTGTTTTTTCCTGTGAGCATGGCCTTTCATAACTGAAAGCTGGGATTCTGGCAGATAAGATGACAGCATGAGAAAAGTAGGATAGCTGGGGAAAATCTAACTCTAAAATAGCAGCAAAGTTGTGAGCCACAGAACAACTATGTTTGCAGGTTTTTATTTGAAAAAAAATCCAGTAATAAAACTCCTCATGCCAGCTGATGGTATCAGACCTTTCAGGGAAGTTAGACTTGGTTAATTAGAAGTTACAGAGCGAGCATTTGATGGAAAAAGGAGCAACACTGAATTTAAATTCTTTAAAAATGTGAATTGTATGACATATACAAAAATCTTACAGTTGATAATGACACTCAAAGCAATAAACTAAAACTGAAATGCAAACATAAATAATATATTTATATAAGCAATAAGAACTACTTTCCACCAGCGAGCGCAGCTTGCAGATTAAAGAAAAGAAGTGCATGAAGTAAAAATGTCATACTTTCTCATGTCAAACTGACATCTTCAACATGCCTTTCCTAATTCCTAATGTGTACTGATGACTTGGAGACAGTTCTCATGCTCACATCTTCTAAAGCACTAAAATACATGAGGAAAGTTACAGCACGCAAAGAGCTGTCCTGGCACCACTAGATGCCTGCAGGCTGTCTAATGCTCTTTCCCATACTTTAAGTCATTTGACAAGTCTGGCTATCTGAAAGATGGCTGTCTAAAATACCCAGGCAAACTGACTGTAAAATAAAACTATTTTTATATTCCATCACATATGACAAATACTCTTACTTTATTGATGTGTTCTGTGGAACTTCAAAGGAGATAAGCCGGCCTCCAGCAGAAGTATTGGAACTAGCATTTCCACAAGCTACATCTGGCATTATCTGGAAAAACACCACACATTTAGTCAACACTAAATCACAAAATATGACCAAACAAAACAAGAAATGCTTTTTGTTTAAACAAACACACACACAGACACAAGTGGTAATCCAAGATTCATCTTCTAAATTTCGCTTTCAATTTCCTGAAAGAGATACCTGAATCTTTCAATATTACTCTCAAAAATACTCTCCCACTCTGCCCTAACAAGATCCACTACTATTCTTTCTAACTGTAAGATTTTTCCAAGGGAAATGGATAATCTGAGCTTTCAAATGGGGGAAAGGAACACAGACATAGATCCAAAGACATTTTTACATGACTGTATGACTGCCTTTACTATTTTGGTATACTATTTGTACTAGGTTTGAACTAGGAAAAGTAACATATGAAGACTCCTTAAGGCTACACTTCAGCCAGGATACATAAATGCAGCTTTTCACTGCTGAAAGTAGTTTCCTGGAAGTGTCTGTAGTATATGAATTTTCACAGTGCATCTCTTTGAAGGCTGACCTAATATGTATTTGTAATTCTACAAGGCCTTATTAATACTGTCAGACTAATCCTGAACAGCACAAAATGCAGCCATTTACATATGTTTCTTTTGTATCTTGTGAGCTGAAAAAAGAATTACGCTTTGCTACCTGCAAAGGAATCCATACGATCTCAAGCTTACAAGTGGCCTGTAAGAGAAATGACAAAGTTCATCTGGGTTTATGCAGATCCCAGTAGGTCTGTTAACACTGTAGTAATGAGCACTTTTGAATACCAGCGAGCACTTTGGAACACTGGAACAAGCTGCCAAGGTATCAGGTGGAGTTTCCAGCCTTGAAGATACTCAAGGCCCAGCTGGGCATGATCCTGGGCAACTTGTTTTATCTGGGCAGGGGCTGGATTGGGTGATCTCCAAAGGTGCCAACCCCAACTGTTCTGTGATTCTGTGCACACAAGAGTTCCTGGATTATACAGAATTTGAGATAAAAATAAACCCCTTTGAGAAAAGCAAGGTTATGTTCTGGGGTGATCTCCCATGAGAACTAGCACCATTAAAAAGAACCTTTCATTTCTTCAGTAGGACATAAGCCATCAGGATGAATGTATTACAAATAATGCTTTTAAAAACGCTAACTCTTTTAAATCTTCTTCTGACACTTTACATACTAATTTTTAATTCAAAAAAAGCAAGTTTCATAACTTGCAGTTCTGCCTTTTCCATCAGGATAAGGCCCATAAGATTTCAGCACTTTGGGACAAGAATTTTATTTTCTAAGCAATAGAAAATTGCTATCAGCATTCCTTATACAAGGGGGAAAATATTGTGGGGGAAAAAAAAAAAGAGACTAGATCCTAATTACAAAATCTTCAGCAGCTATCTACAGAGAAACAAGAAAGGAGAAGGATGAAAATAAAATATAAGTTAATAGAATCAGAAGAGAGGGATTGACTACTTCCTTCTTGTAGTCAAGATGACAGGCAACGATCCAGAATCATTTCTGGTACAGAAGTAAATGCTACTCACACGGGACAGAAAGAAAGAAAAGCAGTTCTCTTACTCTCTAGTACATTTAAGCCATTAGTTCCAAAAAAATCTAGTGCAAGATGCTTTACCCCAACGTTGAGTTTATTTGCTGCTACTCTCAAGAGTTTCATATGGGATGATTCTTGAAAAAAAACCAGAACAGAAAATAAAACCCTACTTCTAACACATCTCAACAGCGGGAGAGGAGAGCAAAAGCGTCTGGAGTAGGAGTAGTGCCTCTCTGAAGAACACCAAGGGAAGACTGACAGACTGCATCCAAAAACAGTATCAAATGAAGAAATGTTGCCAGTTATTGTAGCACTTTAAATTTAATGCAAGTCGGCAAATCTACCCAGCCAATTTTATCACAGGCAGTTTGTGTTTCCTCACTCATCTGAGCTAAAGTCACTTTGTGGAGTCAGCAATCATACTGTAAAAAGAATCCAGTAGAAGAAGAGAAGTTTTACTGCAATCCTCTAGATAGCCCTACTAAAACAGCATTTCCTATAGAAGATAATAATATCAATATTATATGAAGAGGTATACGTTTCAGCAAGCACAGCAAGTTATCTTATGCAATGACACTTTCTCAAATAGATTAGCTAGGTCATAATTTTAGCCAGATGCCTTCTTGTCTCCAGCTGGCTAAAATGAATGACTTCACATAACCATTCAATCCATGTTAGTTCCTTGAATGAGTAATGACCATTTCTTACTGCAAATTGTATGGAGCTGTTTTGAACAACATACACAAAATTCGACATAGTCAAATATTTACACTCAGACTATGAGTTCAGGTCGTCAGAGAGTAAGCTAGCATGTAAATGTAACCTTCATCAATTCAGTTCTGTGATTCTCAGGAACTTTCAGGTGGAATGATTCCTGAAAGAGTAGTTAAGAATCTAGATACTCTTCAAAGACAGCACCAACGATCACCAAATAACAAGAACAAACAAAAATGATTCCCTCTCCTCTCCAGCATTTTATTTACATTGTGCAGAAAGTATTTCTATCATAAAGGTCATAAGAGAAGTTTGATTTTAGGAAAGCTAGTACACTAAACATCACCTCAAAAAGAGGTCAAGAAATCACAAAACAGTAGATCTTGCAATACAAAAAAAAAAAATAGGGGCAAAAAAGGTTGGAAGTTATGCTTTGCAAGCTTTGATGAAAGGGAACATCTTCCTGCTAACACCTAAACTTTTAATCTTGAAGCCACCTCCAGGAAGGCTTGTAACAGACAAGCAAATCTGCAGCCCCTTCACTTTCATGGAGATCAGGGAGACAACGTCTTAAATCAGCAACTGGGAACCTTCGCTTCCACAGAAGTCCCTCTCTCTTGCAGTGATTTTCAAAGAACAGAAAAATCACTATGGAACAGTAGATTGCGGAAAATGCAAGTCCCATCGAAACATCTTAAAAACATATAGCCACAAATCATTTACAAGTGTTAATGATGTGATTTGTAATTCTGAAATACATATGCTGCATTTCTCAGATAACAGAAGACACACAGAAGGATGGAACTATTACAATACCAACTTATAAACTATCTGTTTAAGCTGAAATGCTTAATTAATCTATCTAAAATGAAAGGCAGTTGGAAATATTACTAATACATTAAAATAGCAGAGCACAAACTGAAGAATACACTAGGGAAATTTGACACAGGATAGCTTTAATTGATCAGGACATACAGGGAGGACACTGTGTCCAAACTGAAGAATAAAAGCAGATCACTGTTTGTTTCTGCTCCAATACTCTCTCTCCAAGCTCCACACTCTTTGCCTGGCATATGTTTTACTGAACAATAATAGATACAGTAGAGGGTATTTTAAGAAAGCTCTGTTCACCAGACTTTGCCTAACGTAACTTCCACTGAAATAGGACACTGTCCAAGTTAGAAATACTAGTGTAACTACTTGCACTCTAGATCTAATCTGTGGGTCATACAATATCAAACATATTGCTCATATAAGCCAATTTTACTTTCAGCAGTTTATTTAACTAAAGCTAAAGTAGCCACATGAATGCATTTGCTTGGGCCAGCAAATTATGTTGAAAATCAGAACATTTTCACGGGTTCAAGTCATGCCTGTTCCATTTCTTGGCTTTGGAGCATGTGAATATACCTCAGAAGAATCCTACTCCGTCAAATAACTTAAAACTGATGTAACTGGCATTTTATGTATTTATTTCTGAATAAACTCAAATGAAGCAACTTTCCTCTACAATCTATTTGCTAAGAAAGGGATGTCAAAGATTTTAATTGTCTAGTGAAATTAAAACATTCCTTCACCAATGAGTATCATTAACCATAATGCTCATTACTAAGTTGGCATCATGAAGTAAATAATTGATAATTCATTGTTAAGTTTATGAATGCATGTACTTCCCACCTATACTTGATTTTCACATGTAAAGATTAATATTTACTTGTAACTGGGTAAAGCTCTTCTAGTACTTTTTTTTTTTTTTTGATATTAGAATCTCTGTAAGGCCCTTGACATCTGCTAATAAAAAGAATGTACAAGCAGTAGAATGTAGAAGTCATTTCTTAAGGTGTGTTGTGTACATTCCTGTTGTACTTCTGCCAGATAATGTAATTTGGATTTATTAAAAGTTATAATAAATATTAACAATTCTTTAACTGCTCTGATACCCCTGAAAATACATTGTTTCATCCTCCAACAATTTTCTTGTTCTTTCAAAGATGACTCTTTTGTCCTTTTCTCTTTCTTTATATTTGTTGTATGTCATTACTAATATTGAGGCAAATGTGAATGTTTTATTTTGAACTGACTCCCTTAGCATAGTGCGTAGTATGATTTACACAAGTAATAATATACAAAATATGAATGAGGTCTACGTAAATCAAACTATGGAGCTCTTGGCAGTCAAGTCTGAGCTATCAAAAATGTAAATATTTCTCATAAAATTGATTTAAAGGTAAATTTTTATCTTAGCATGTGTACACACTGTAATACCATTTGGTCTTGTCTATAAATGGACCAGACATTGCAAACCATCAAAATGAAATCTGCAACATATTTATGATGTAACGCAGTATTTTGTAAAAGTAAGAATTCAATAAAAGACTGGGAAACTGCAGGCACTGTGCAGCTATCTACTGTTCCTCTGAAAATAACACACACACTTCCTCTAACTTTCTAGGCATTTTCTGGGTGATCTATAACTGGCAAGTCTGAGATGCTTTCAATCATTTCCCTGCCAATGTGGATAACTAAAACTGAAAATAGCTATTTAAATCCCAGCATATATTATGAAGTATAAAAAAGACTGACTGAATTCTTGGAACTTCTGGCCAAGATAAGAGACAATAAAATATTTCTACATGGCAAAAAATAAGTAAATGTTCACCTTGAGGTTCTCTACGAACAAGGATTAGCTACATATCATTTTAAACATGGAGCTGTGCAGAAAATTATGACAAGTGAAGGTAAAGTTTTAAGATGGACAGAAGAACTAGGAAAGCTGAAAGTTTCAAATGGGAATTCAAATACAGAGCCCCCAAACAGAGCTACAACTCAAAGGGCTATAAGCAAATACAAACGCAAATCAACCAAAATAACTATTCAAAAATATTTATTTTAAATTTTTACTTCCCAATTTTGGAACAAAATAAAATAAAGTTTCCTAGAGCTAGAATGTCAAATTCCAGGACAGCCCATGCAGACCTGTACCATCTTATTTTCTCCAAAGGATTTTGAATTAAAGGTAGAGATATTTAATGAGCTCTTTTAATGAGCGTTCACTTAAAAAAAAAAAAAGGTACTCAGACAATTTTCCTAAGATTATTAATAATAGTGGGCTTAGCTATTTCTCCTCCACCATGCATTTCTACAATTGTGTACTGTATTACATATTGACTGCTATTTTTAATTCTCAAGTAGCCACGTTTTCTTAACACTACAGAGATCCACAAAGCAACATGGGACTGTAACTGTTAATCAGAAAAAAAAAAGTTAGAATTACTGCTGCAATCTTTTGATTGTCTTGAATTCATTTGATGGAAATATTTGAGGTGTTTATTTTTTTCATGAATGACCAGAATAAACAATATTATTTCATTTCAAAGAAATATCCAATATGATGTATGTAAAAACACAACCTCAAAAAGGCCAAGCTTAAACCTGTTATGCTTAACAAGTACAAGTCTGGCTAATTTTACTGGAATATTAACTCAGAGATCCTATCTTCAGTCCCTAACACTATATGTAAAAATGACAACACATCAGTGAGGACTGTTAGATACTCCACTGTGTGCATTTTTATTTAAACAAAATATTCTCACCTCTATTTCATCCCATTTCAGATCTACAACTTTCTGTCCAGCCTTTGGCTGCCATGTGGGTAGTGTCACAGTTGCTCTTGAGCGAGGAAGCACAATGTCGGGCTCCAAGGTGGAGGAGACCGGGCTGCTTTGCCTGGGTGATGACGACTCTGTCCGTTCAGAGACTGTCGGGTTAGGAAATGGGCGCTCACAGTTTGTCCCTTCGTAGCCTTCGCTGCAGACACAGAGGAAGCCATCACTGCTGGCACTGCAGTTTCCATGGTGACAGGGGTTGCTGGCACAAGGATCTGAAACAAACTGAGGGGAAAAAAAAACACCATGTGGGTCAATTACTGCATACAGACTCATGCCTGAGCTTTGTTAAAACTATAAAAGCCAACATTTGTCTCCTAAAAACATTTATGGACCAAATTCATCTCAAGTATATCTTCAAGAAAGTAAATTCAAAGGATTAAAGAAGTGTGTCAATTAACGTGGTTCATTGCTCGTTACTGCTCCCAGATCATTTCATGCTAATTCACTGTTGATACCATCAATAAATCAAAGCAGCAGACAAGAGGGGAATGTGGCCACTGCTCACACTGTGCTGCTTTGCAGAACAGCCACCGAGTAACCTCCGTAGGGGACACACCACCAGCTGGAGCAACACGCTGCTCTCCCAATACAGAGGCACGGGGCACAGGCCGCGCGCTGACGGTCAGGCGCTGACGCGCAGCGGGAGGCGGCACAGCCAGCACAGCCGCAGCCCCGGGCACAGCCCGTTTAATTGGGGACCCACTACACTCATTCCTCTGATGCTAGAAACTTTCAATCAGCAGTGGCTGGGACAAAAAAAAAAAAAAAAAAATATTTCAAAGACAGCATCAGCATTTGTAATAAATAACAAGATCAAGTTCTGCGATGTGGGAAAAAATCCTGTCGTATGCTTGCCTGCTTTCTTCTCATTTCTAGCTTAAATTTATCTATAGCTGGCTGATACTCCGTTTGTATGTCATTACTGACCTTTAGGTCAAATATTTCTTCCCTCTTCCATGCTGGCATTCACATCCATAATGTATTTAGGGAATATATATCAACAAACTCTTCCCAAGAGAGCTGATAGACTACCCGAGCTACAGTCATGGCTCACGGAGGAAACTTCCACTCACATGAGCGGAGCAGCAGTTGAGGAGCTTTTCCCAGCCTCGCTCTGCCTTCAGCAAATGCCTCAGTGCTTGGGTTTGTCCTGGAACTACTTTCCCCAGGGCTGGCAGAGGAACGTTTGCCTTAGTCAGACCCACGTCAAACGCCAGAGTCATTGTCGTCAGCTGAGCAATTAATATAGCCAGGCCACTCCCTTCATTTGTCCTCATATTACAGTGACAACCTACCATTGAAAAGAGATTTTTTTCTTAGGGTGCAAAATTCATCCAATTATTCTTGTGCTAAAAGCTACGCAGTTCTTCCCCGTATCACATTCCAGTCCTTCCCTGCATGAGCAATGCTTTCTATTATTATATTTCTTGAAAAAGCACCACTTATCTAAGTGTTTACTAATGAAGATCAGCATCCACTTTTTATTGTAGTAACACGTATCACTACTACTTTAATTTAGCACGACCAGTAGTCTTAATTCATTCACCTTCTCCACACATCCATCACAAGATCTTAATATGATCCAGTTTATACTTGTGCTCATTAGTTCTTGTATATTTTCAGCTCCAACTTGCTAGCAACACCAGAAAGCTTTTTATATGCAAGTCACTTATAAATTAGTTGAACAACATTCCAGAAATAACCTGGAATAACTTTCCTATTAGCTTGGTTTATATAAAGCAATATTATAGCTGGCCTTGCCTGGAGGTTCTCCAGACCCTAGCCTAGCCTATTGTAATATTTTTGGACAGAAAATAGAGGACATGCTATTGTGAAATTTCATTTTGAAAATAGTTAATAATGAATATTGGATTTGTGCTGATGAAGAAGAATTAATGCTAGAAACCATCCACAATATATCGTCAACTCTGTTATTTACATTGCAAGGGCACATATCTCAATATATTTCAGGCAATACATCAGTGTCAGGCCCCAATATATAAATACTTAAATAAGCAGTTTAAGTATACATAATACTATCTCAAGTCAAAGCAGCAGGACTTTTTATGATGCAATGGGCTTATGTTCTGAAGTTTATCTTTCTTCCAAATCAACAGAATATATTAGTCCTCAGATTTTGGCTACTAGCTTCACTTCTTGATAAAGTAATATTTGTATATGATAGGAATGAACAGTTACCAGGAAGAAATACAGCCTAGTTCTGGTCTATAGTTTGCAAATTATATTTTCAGGTTGTTCACATCGCCAAGAAGCAGAGATTTTCATAGAAGTTTCCTTTTTCTTAAAGAATATTGGGGATAAAAGGCTTTGAAGTGTGAACAAAGCTCTGTTCCAAAATTTTTTGCAACAATTTCTCATATTCTAGTTATTTAGATTGGATTCAATTTGAATTTCCAAGACATGCAAGCCCTCTTAGTGTTGGCTGAGCTCCTTACTTATTATTCTGCAATTAATCCAAATTCACATTATCCTTTGATTAATGAATCAGCACTAATTTGATTTCAAGGAAATTTAATTGTTCATCACACCCAAGTGTTATTATTGGCAAACTACTGTAATAAGAAAGGACACAACATTTCCAAATAGTCACCAAGGTTATGTTTTCTGCCCTTGGTCAATATATCTTTTTACCAGCAGAATAACAGAAAGGGCTCAGCGCCTTCCTTCACTACCAGCTGTTGCAGACTAGTTGAGCCACAAGGGTAAAGAGGCACCAATGACACCCACCAACCCCCTGCTCCACACACCAGGCACCCAGGAGCACTTTGGGCCTTGTGAGTCTCCACTGCTGTCCCCATGCACTCCAGGGAACAGTTTAGTTCACATGAGGATTAAAAATATATGAGTGGAGACAGAGAACTTCAGCCATACTCTTCATCATAACTTAATTTTATAACATATTTCACCAAAATTTAAGACAGCCTTCCTTTTTCTTTGTTATTACTAATACTAAAGCTCATTTTTTCCTTTCAAGGGGCTTATCAAAACTAATGCTTGTTGTACATGTAAGTTTTCTGCAGAACTGAAAGTTCATTTTGATTAGCAATTACAGATAGGCGACAAAAATAAAACTGATTAATTTATGCTACACTTGATGTTTCTATGATCCCTCTAGTCATCTCCTAAATCACTGGCAGTAAGAGGGGGGCAATCACTTTGAAAAACAACTTGACACAGTGAACAACATGGCTATTGTAGAAAATACGGGTAGCAATTGGATGAGGTTTTTAACCAATTTTGAAATGCACAGGACAAAGTTAAGCAATGTCCTTGGTCTCAAAACTGAGGGCAAATGCTAAGCATATCACGAACATACAGTTAGGAAAGGATATTTTTTCAGCCTTTCCTTGGAAGTTCACAGTACTTTGAAGCAGCGTAGCACAGAAAAGAGGAAGTATGCAGCAAGTATCCATAGAACCACTAATTAAAAGATGAATACAAAATAATCACTACTAAAAATTTCCAGATTTAAATTTTACTTTTGAAAAAAATCAGCAAGTGTATCTGCTATAGAGTTCTACTGTTTTTCCCCCATATGTCCATTTAAAATTCTGCCTGCATTCATAAAATGCACATTGCCTAAACAGGCACAATCAGCAGTTGCAGCACCTCGCTAACAAAGCAGAGCTAAAAATTGTGAAGACGCATGTCCTTCCAAATGCTACTTCATAAGCCTGGACAGCTGTAAATTTTGCAGTATTCTTCCCAGTAAAGTCTTAAGATAGATTCATATCAAGGTGCACTTGATACTGCAGCTAATTTTGCAAAGGCAGACTGAGTATTAACACAGCTACAGCATAAACATTAGGAGATTTTTTTAGGAATCACACTCAAAAGCACAGATTTTATTCCTGCTATGCCAATCAATCCCATTGTTTCCTAAGGTTTTTGTTTAGGATAAAACTCTGCAAGGCGGGTATTATCTGCTAGATCTTTTTGCCGCCACTTTTTCTGGATACACCAACTGCACCATATAATGCACAATGCATTCGATCTCCCCTCCCCTAGAAAACTAGCTTTTGGCTGCCACCTACAACCACACACGACAACAAAATGCCAGCCTGCAACATAGCTTCAATACAATACAGAAAACCCAGAATGAGTTCAGTCCGCAGATTAGAGACTCAGCTAATTAAGTTTCCAACAATCTGCTAAAAAGACAAAGCTGCCCCAACAATATCAAAGTTGGATATTTTATACTTATGTTCAGTAGCACTCACAACCTTCAAAGCAGTTTTCAAACATTAAAACTCCAAACCAAATCAACAAAAACAGAGACCGATTCTTCAATGGCTTCCTGAGAGATTTTTTCAAGCTACACAATAAACTTTTGTTTTTCACATCTGTAGACTTACTATGGCTGTTTGGGATTTTGAGAGTCAGTCTTAACGAGGCAGCACAGGACAATGGTCCTGCACCTACCTTGATGGAGAAATTCCCTGATACAAAAGCAGGTAACTTGTCCCAGAAGATCCACCATCCTGGAAGAGGAAATGGATCAGACAAACCAATTCCAAAGTAGGCACCAGGCATTAAAACTTAGCACCTTATGAAAACTAACAAGTTATTTCTTCTAAGACGGTTGGAAGTATCACATGATCTCTGCACATTCATCCATTTGTGAGAAACAAAAGAAATAAATGGAAATGGTCTATATAGCAACGGCAACAAAGATTATCTAGAAACATAATCTCTTTGAAGGAATAGTTTGGTTATATTCAAGCTATTTTTTAAGTTTCTTCTGATTCAGTTCTTCCCACAGGGATGTTTTGAATCCCATTCTATTAGGCACTGTATATCAATGCAAACGAGGCAAGGAAACAAAAGGGAACAGAATGAACTGAAACAGAAAAATCAGATGCTCGAAGAGCGTCCACAGAAAAAGCACCGAGAGGAGTGTATTAACAAATGCATTTTCTTTTATTTTGAGGAAAACTGTCTTGCTACTCAGTGGGACTAAGCAAGACACGTGGGTTCAATTTCTGTCTCTCCCAGAGGCATCGTGTTCGACTTGAGAAAACTCAGACTCTATTTCTGCCTCTACAGTTTCTTAACTGAGAAATGGAGCTTTCTACTTTCCTTCTCACATTGTCTGTGCAGCTGAACTAGAAAGTATCTTTTTTTCAGGTTGGGAAGCACAGAGCCAGATTGAAGATAGGAACTCAGAAGTACCACTATAATACAAGTCAAAATAATAAGGA